TCAGTGGCCAGGCCCTAAGTTCAAGCCCCAAGACTGATACAAAAACAACAACAAAAAGAATGACATTAATCTTCTTTCTTACTGCTTGGCTTATCACATTTTGTGGTCATTTGTGCAATTGTTTTAAACTACTTCTTCCTGTTTGATATTTGTAATCACTTCAGTAATGACAGTACAGTGCTGAACCTTTTCCTTTGGATTTCAGAAGTGTGAAATCTCTGCTATTTTCTCAGCCAATTTCTCTGGGAAATACTCAATTAATTGTCACATTTTCATTGGTTCCATTAAATTTTAAGACAAAGAAAAGAAATCTCCCTGGCAGGTTAAGCTAACACTGGTGACTGGTGAAGCAAGAGATGAAGCCCAACTTCAAATACTCACCTGAGGAGTGTCAACTTTTACTCTTCATTTCTGACATTTTGTAACTTCCCTGTTAACCATCTGGAGATTAGACAGTCTTATGGTTTCCTGGCAAGATCCCATGTAGACAATGCTGGTACTATGTTGAGTGTAGAAGATACAGTGAGAAAGAAATCAGATTTCATTCTCAAGAAGTTGAAAACGGGTGCCAATGGCTCATGCCTGTAATCCTAGTTACTAAAGAGGCTGAGATCTGAAAATCATGGTTCAAAGCTAGCTATATCAGGAAAGTCTGTGAGATTCTTATTTCCAACTAACCAGCAAGTAGTAGAGCACCAGCCTTGAGGGAAAAAATAGGTCAAGGACAGAGCCCAGGGCCTGAGTTCAAATCCCAGGACTAGCAAGAATGTGTGTATGTGTGTACCCCCCACACACATACACACACAAAACGGAAAATTTCCAGGTACCAGAGGTACATCTGTAATCCTAGCTGAACTCAGGAGGCTGAGATCTGAGGATGGTAGGTCAAAGCCTGCCTGGAGAGGAAAGGCTGTGGGATTCTTATCTCCAACTAATCAGCAATGAGCCAGACATGGAACATTGGCTCAAATGGTAGAGCACTAGCATTGAACAAAACAAACAAAAAGTAAACAAACCCTAAGGGATAGATAGCATGCAGGCCCTGAGATCAAATCCTAATATGGGCACACAAAAAATTAAAAATCAAATAAGGAAGGCAGTAAACCAGGGCAAACTGACATCCATTGTGCAAAAAGAAAGGAACCCTGAACTTTGGTATAACCAAAACTGCTCTGGGACTGGGACTCATGACATTGTAAGAGAGTTGTACTAGAAATAAGATTTGACGGACAACTGGAGTTAACGGAGCAAATGGAAGACAGCATGTGGGAGAACTGGGGAACTGGACATGGCGCACAGGGTCTGGTCACAGAGATCCTCATAGACCTTTGTCTTTGCAACACTATGGAAAGCCTGGCAACAATTGGAAGCAGAAGGTGGCTGGGAATCTGACCCGACAAGTAGCACTCCAGTGGCAGTCTGGAAGTGTGATTGGAGGAGAAAAATCTATGGAGTGGATTATGGTAGAAGCTGAGATTGGAGGTGATGGCAAAGTCAAAGTAGTAGGTACAGGAAGACTGAGAGCTATTACAAAAAAAGAAAAAAGAAGCTTTGATGGAAAATCAGATGTGCTTGGCACTCAAGAGAGGTGTTAAAAGGGACTTTCAGATTCACCACCTTTCCTACCCTGGCACTACATGCATCAAAGCATCGGCAATCAAATTCATAGGCCATTCATCATCCTCATTTTTACATCCCAAGGGTCTTTAGAATAAGTCCCCTCTATCTCAGATTCAAGGGCTTTTTCTCCATAGTCCAATTTGCCAGCCTATTTCCTGTCCTTGAAGCACCAGTGTGAACGGTTCTATCAGTTTCCAAAGAGTTTCCCGGTGCCCCTCGCTCCCCCTTCCATCCATCCCACCATTCCACCACTCATTTCTTTTTGTAATATTACCACCCTGAAGTAGTTACACAAAGAGGTTTCAGTTCCATATGTCAGTTTGTGGGTATAATGCATCTTGATCAAGTTTACCTTCTCCCTCATCTCTCAACCACCCCTCCCCTCAATGTTCCTGCCTCCATTTTCACAAAGAATATTATGACCACATCCACTCACCCCTCCTCTCTCCTTTTGTCTACCTCCCTCTGCTTGACCTCAACTGCCCCCCCAACACCTCAATTTCCATCCTCTTAGCATTCATTGTATTAAACTGCAAGTTAGCTTTTCAAAGAAGTAACACCATTAAAATTCCCCCGGCACATACTTCGGTGAATTTCTATCGAACTTCCACACAAGAGAAAACATTCATCATTTCTTTTTTTTTTGCCAGTCATGGGGCCTGAACTCTGGGCCTGAGTGCTGTTCCTCAGCTCTTCAGCTCAAGGCTAGTGCTCTACCACTTGAGTCACAGCACCACTTCTGGCTTTTTCTGCTCATGTGGTGCTGAGGAATAGAACCCAGGGCCTCATGCATGCAAGGCAAGCACTCTACCACTGAGCCACCTTCCCAGCCCCAACATTCATCATTTCTGAGCCACACTCTCAGCCCTCTTTTTGCAGGAGATGGAGTCTAGTAAACCTTTCTGCCCAGGCTAGCCTCGAGCCACAATTCTGCAGCTCTCGGCCTCTTAAGTAGCTAGGATTCAAGTATGAACCACTAGCACCAGGCTACCATCATGGTCATTTATTACTGCCATATCTAGAAACTTTTTTTTTTGGGGGGGGGAGCTTCACGCAGGTGAGCCAGAACTCAAATTCCTTAACTCGGCACACAGGCTGATCATTCTAATGTGACCTCTGATCCAATACTCATAACTCTATGTGGAATTCTCCTCCCTTTCCTTCCTTCTGTTCTTCAGGACCACCTTTCTAACTAAAACTCAAAAGACACCTCTCAAAGAGAGAGGGAAAATATTCTTTAGTTTTCTGTTTACCTGAAGTAAAGATAAAAAGAAATCCAGTTCAATATTTTCAGGCCAAAGTATTAAAAAGAATAGCTGATCCTCTGGAGAAATAACCTTGACTTGGGAAAAAATATTATGGAAGGCCAGGCACTAGTGGCTCACATTTGTAATCCTACCTATTTAGGAAGCTGAGATCTGATGATTGTGGTTTGAATCCAGTGTAGGCAGGAAAATTGATGAGACTCTTATCTCCAATTAACCACCAGAAAACTGGAAGTGGAGCTGTGACTCAAGCGGTAGATACTAGCTTTGAGCAAAAAAGCTCAGGAACAGTGCCCAGGCCCAGAGTTCAAGAACCAGGACTGGCATACACACAAAAAATTATGGAATGACTTGGAATCTCAGACCACTCCTGGAGACTTCTCCCTCCCCCAAGATGGTTCTTTGATAGGAATGTGAAAATAGCTAAGGCTATTCTTAACCAGGCAAAGCCAAAGTAAATGGCAGAAATAAAAAAAGTTATCTATAACTGGTTCTATTATTGGTTCTAAAAATTATCTGTTACTGACTGACCGGCACCCCTCACTCCCAGGACATGGAAGCTCAGTCTCCAGCAAATATTCATCATTTATCTTAGGGGCAAATAAAATCAGAACTGGAATCCAGCCAGGTGCTAGTGGCTCATGCCTGTAAGCCTAGCTACTCAGGAGGCTGAGATCTGAGGATCACAGTTTGAAGCTAGCCCAGGCAAAGAAGTCTGTGAAACTCCTATCTCCAATAAAGTTCCAAAAATGCTGGAAGTGCGGCTGTGGCTCAGGTGGTAGAGCACTAGCTTTGAGCCAAAAAAGCTCAGGGAGAGTGCCCAAGCCCTAAGTTCAAGCCAGGACAGGCACAAACAAATAGAATTTACTGGAGTTATTAGGGACAGTGTACAGTTCCTAAGTGTCCAGAGAGGGAATGTGGTTTGGAGATCATACAGCCAGAACAACATCCAAAACCACATCTCACAGGGCTCGCTTTGTTCTCCCTTGCCCAGAATCTACAGCTTGCACCATGGACACTGATGCTGCCCTGCTCCACTGCTGGAAATCCCCGTTAATGGGCTTACTGAGGTGGCAACATTTTTTAATCTCTAATTCCCAATTCAAAAAATCTCGTTTGTAGCTCCACTGGGCCAACTCTAAGAAGGATACAGACGACCCCAGCTTGGCCACAAGAAGTGAGGAAACAAGACCTGGTATGGAGAAAAAGAAGCAGTACTCACAAAGGCAGGATACATGGAACAGAGAGTTGATCAAAGATGCCAAAAAGTCAGAATGGAAAGCCTGTGCTAGATATATTCAGATCCAAATGCCTTGAAAATTTATATGTATATATGTATATGTGTGTATGATGATATATGTATATATATGATATGCATACATTATATATATATATGTCATGTACACACATATATGTATAGCCCCAGTGGCTAATCCTAGCTACTCAGGAGGCTGAGATCTGGTCAGCCTCGACCAAAAAGTTTACTATATTCCATCTCCAAAACATAACCAACAAAAAGCAGGACTGGAGGTACAGCCCAGTAGAGAACCATCAGGAACAGAAGTAGAAGCCACTGCACCTCCTACCCAAGTGCACTCTTGGAAGAATCTCTTACTATTATGATATAAAGGACAGAGGCCAGTGCTTCAACAGTACCTGTGCTTTCATGTGTGCATGCATGTGTGCATGCGTGCATGCACACACACGCACGCGCATGTACACACACACACACACACACACAATTAGGACCCTAATTTTAAAAACAAAGCCTTGCTGGGAATTATTAGGCCCTGTAAATCCTTCTAACTCCCATATCATCTGCCAGGACCTCTCCTCTCCAGGCAACCAAGACTACAGCAGTCTTTACATTGATGGGAATACTTTTTTTTCATTTGTTTTACAATCTGTGTTCACATCCTTAAGTCATTTTATTTCAGTTCATTCCTTTGAGGTGGTTTTCCATGACTCATCAAAATGAGGTTCCATATAAATTTTCCAGAATGTTTCATGTCTAGTAAGCAAATAATTTAATTGATAGGTAACAAAAGCTTACCTTTCCTTGGATGACACAGCTTTACAAACAATAGTTATTTTCTTACAATTAGAACAAGAATGATCGATAGCCACATGTTTATTGAAGCACTAGCTAAGCTTTCATTTACAAGCCAGTATTTTGGGAGGGAAAAAAATCACATAAAACAGTATTTTCAAATGTTATACAATCTACATAAACATTAAACTTGCAGGATTTACAAATTAATATTCTGGGCAGACAGATAAATTATACATCATTTCGCAAATCCAATCTACAGACTTAAAAAAATTCATACAGCCATAATGCAAGATAGTCTCTCTTTACAATCTACCTATATACATAGTTTTTCCCACCACACAGGATGAGAATTCTCATCACAGCTACCTAGGTTTGCAAACATAGTATATTCAAAATATATTTAGCAGCATATAAAAAATTAGAGGAAAGGGAAAAGAACTACTATTAAATTAACAAAAAGAAATTAAAAAGTGATAATAGAAACAACTCCATAAGAAAATAGATCAAAGTGTCTTTCTGTTAGAACATCAAAAATGTATACTGATACAGAACATCGGCCCAGTGCTAAGAAAAACAACAATTTTACAGTAGTTTAGTCCTGAGCACAGTATGTATTGTGAGATATATATATATATATATATATATCACAATTACAAACTTTTATCAAGACAAGTAAATGCCAACATTTAAAACAAACAGTTAAATATTCTTTGTTAGTAGATCAAAGTCAATTCCACTTTATGAGAAATCCATAATATTCTCCTTACTTTATCTTTTTTTTTCCCACTGCATTAAAAGAGCTTTGAAATTTGGGAACCCTCCAAGGCTGATAGGAATGCTTGACAAACAGACTACAATTTTACTAATGCTTCCAATACAGTTAAATATGTAAATCACATGAACAGACTACAGGAAGGAGTTAACAGGTAGATGTACTCTATCCCAGGGGTGTTTTCTGACTATTGTCAAAGTTGATACCTCATGATTCCAATAATTTAAAGGTGCCTTTTTATAGCTAGGCACAAAAATGCAGCCACAATAAAAGTGCGAATCAAGCAATAGATTGATAGCAAGATACATATGTATCAGTGGATACAAAATTAAGCACACAGGATAGCACACAATTTCACTAGAATATCATATATCTTCAACATTTGGATTCAGATATATTTTCCAGTTCATCCCATTCTTAAACTTTTGCAGGACATTTTAAATAAAGAACCCAGAGCATTATCACAGCATTCAGTGTATGACTTATCTTCAGGTTTAATTACTAGAAGTCTCTTCTCCCAGATCTCCTGGATCAGATATTTGGCCATCTTGCAAATTTCGAGCCTTCCAAATCCTCACTGTTCGGTCACTACAAGAAATTTAACATGGACACATGAACAGAAAGGTAAAGAAGCAGCTTTGCCTTTAATAAAATCAGGCTTAAAATAGACATCATCACATAAGAATAACAAACGTGGGTTTACAATGTCAGAATAGCAGTTAATATGATTGGCTTATGTGGCATGTGTACTCTAACTATTTTAAGTTGAATTCACTCTAACCTACATTAGAAGTAAGGGACATAATACCTTTATTAAAAAAACGATTTTTTGAGACAGGGTCCTGCTATCTTTCCCAGGCTGGCCTAAAAATCTCAGCTCAAGCTATCCTCCTGCCTCAGTCTCCCAAGTAGTTGTAATTATAATGTCTTTTTTTTATTGATAGGGTAGCCCTGATCATAAGATAACTGACAGATCTGGGCACTGTAGTCCTACCTACTCAAGAGGCTGAGATCTGAGGATCATGTTTTGAAGCCAGCCAGGCAGAAAAAAACCCTTTGATCTTTTTTTTTTTTTTTTTTTGGATCCGGTTGTGGGGCCTGAACTCTGGGCCTGGGCGCTGTCCCTCAGCTCTTCAGCTCAAGGCTAGCACCTACCTCTTGAGCCACAGCACACTTCTGGCTTTTTCTGCTTATGTGGTGCTGAGGAATCGAACCCAGGGCCTCATGCATGCAAGGCAAGCGCTCTACTACTGAGCCAACTTCCCAGCCCCCTTAGATCTATTTAACTTGCCAAAAGCCAGAAGTAGAGATTTGGCTCAAGTGGTAGAGCACCAGCCTTGAATTAAAAAGCCAAGTGAGAGGGTGAATTCCTGAGTTCAAGCCCCACTTCTGGTCACAATAAATAAATAAATACTTTAAATAAACAGCAGAAATAAGATTTGAGTTATGGCATTCTAGCCCCAGAGTCACACCTCATCACATCAGACCTGAACTTGAAAGTTTAGAAAACATGCGATCTGACACAGGGTGGGAAGTCTCCAAGCTCAACAGCCCACATGAAGCTCAGAAACCCAGTTTGGGATATCTTGTTTTTAAGGTGACTGTACTGTTAGTAGATACAGCAGATTGACTTACATTAAGTTAGTCCTACTGTAACAAACATACAGTTTCAAGACAGTTCAGAAGGCTATGCATGACTATGAAGCCTCAGAAAAGGGAACCCAAGAAAGTCAACTCTGGAACAGCTCTGGCCTCTACTGGAAGCAATTTGTGTGTATGTGTGCAAGTCCTGGGACTTGAACTAGGGGCCTACACATTGTCCCTGAGCTGCTTTTGCTCGTTTACTGCTCTACCACTTGAGCCACAGCTCCACTTCTGATGTTTTGCTGGTTAATTAGAGAAGAATCTAAGAAATTATCTTCCTAAAATAGCTTTGAACCACAATTCTCCTATCTCATCCTGGGTAGCTAGGGTAAGTTACATACAGGCCTGGCACCTAGCTAAGTCTGCATCTGTTTTGCTTACTTCTTTATGCCCAAGAGTCTGTAGTAGTGCCTAGCACGTAAGAGATACACTATGAACATACAAATAAATGCAAAAATCAATCAATTCAGTCACATTCAGGAGAAAGGAAAAAATTACCATTATTACTTACATGTTAAAGAGAAGCAAAAACACAGATTTTTTAAAAAAATAATTCTTTCTTGGCCAGGTATATTGGCACAAGCCTATAATCTCAGCTACACAGAAAGTAAAGATTTAAAGAACTTCCATTCCAAGCTAGCACAGGCCAAGAGACAGCAAAAACTCATCTCAATAAAAAATTAGGCATGGAGGTTAACAACTATAATAGTAACTTGTCAGAGGGTGAAGGTAGAAAGATTGCAGTACAGGGCTGGCCCCAGGCAGAAGCAGAAGACTCTATCTAAAACATAAACTAAAACAAAACTGTAAATAAAACACAAAAAAAGAGGAGCCAGGAGTATGGCTCAAGCAGTATAGCCTGAATTCAAACCCCAGCATCCTAAAAAAAAGAAAAAGTTCTAACTATGAAGATTAGCAAAAGCTCTGCCTGCTACAAACAAAAATCCTTAGAAACTAGTCATCTGTGAATTATTTTTTAAAAAATTAAAATCACCAGCTGGCACCCGCGTCTCCTGGGTGTAATCCTAGTTCCTCAGGAGGCTGAGATCTGAGGATTAAGGTTCAAAGCCAACCCAAAGAGGAAAGTCCATGAGATTTTATCTCCAATTAAACACCAGAAAGATGGAAGTGGAGCTGTAGCTAAAGTGGTAGAGCCTTGAGCAAAAGAGCTCAGGGACAGCGCCCAGGCCCTGATTTCAAGCCCAGGACTGGCACAAAAAAAAATAAATAAATAAAATCACCAAGGAAAGATCTAGCAGCCATTTGTATTACAAACAGAATATTAACACCCAAGCAACACTACAGTCATGTAATGGAAAACCTCGATTCAATGCTTACATAAAAATAATATAAATTAGGAGCTGAGTATGGCAGTGTGTGCCTATAACTGCACCTGGGAAGATGAAACAGGAGGGTCACAAGTTCGAGGCCACTCTAAGCAACAGAGCCCGACCTCGTCTCTAAATAAACCAATACAACAGACGGTTTAAGTCTGCAGAACATCTTACAACAGACGGTTTAAGTCTGCAGAACAGTCTCTCATGTGCAATGTTTTTAGACATTCACAGCCTTTAGTGCTGCTTAAATCTGAAGACAAGCAACCAATACAGTGCAAACGTCCCCTGGAAAGACTTACTCCGCGGCCGTAAATATATGGGTAGAATTCACACAGATGGCATTGATGGGGCTGTCATGACCCTTCATCTCCCCCACTGGCACGAATGTATCCATGTTCCAGAGCTTCACAATGCCCCCTCTGCAGCCGCTGAGCAGCACCGGGTGGGCTGGTACCACGCCCAGGGCGCAGACCCAATCCTTGTGTGCATTTGGAACTTGCTGAGAGAAAAGACAGAAGAATCAACAGCTGCAGTGCAACCTGCCCCATACTGACTTTAAAAAAAAAAAAATAGCGCACGTAATTACAAATACTTCAGATGATGAAGTTTAATGACTGGTTTGTAGAATAGCCCAATAAGTATTAAAGTTTATTTTCTACATGATCATTCAGCCCTCTAAAGCAATGAATCTGTGATTTGCTCCTTGATTTGATTCACTAATTTTATTACTATTAAAGGCTGCTAATGTTAATAAGCTATAAAATCGAATGCCCTCTTAAAGCCTAGCTACTCAAGAGGCTGGGATTTGAAGACTGATTTTTGAAGACAGCTTGGCCAGGAAACTCCCATGAGATGCAGATGCTTATCTCTAATCAACCACCAAAAAAGCTTGAAGGAGAGCTGGGGCTCAAGGAGTAGTTGGCTTTGAGCAACAAAGCTGTAGTACCAGGAGGAGAGGGGAGGGGAGGTAAAAGAAGGGGAGGGGTGGGGAGGGGAAAGAAAGGGAGGGGAGGGGAGGGGAGAAGAAAACCTCCACTGCTCTATTCCAGGGATGGTTGTATTTAATAAACACAGGCATGGAGCAATTTCAGTTGTTTCAGTTCTTACTCTTGTCTTTTCCTGTCTAGCAGGTATTAAGTGCTGAATGTTAATTCTTGAAATTAGTAACTCTTGTGGTTGATAATAAAGCATTCTTTAAGAACAAGTCATAATTCAAGTTGTCCTTACACAATGAAGATCTACATAAAGCCTCTTTTAGATCTTGAGTCAATCAGGAAAAAAAAATTTAATTCATATTCCAGTCATGTGGCTTGAACTCAGGATCTGGGCACTGTCCCTGAGCTTTTATGCTCAAGGCTAGTGCTTTACCACTTGAGCCACAGCTCCACTTCTGGTTTTCTGGTGGTTAACTGGAGGTAAGTTTCTCAGACTTTCCTGCCCAGGCTGGCTTCAAACTGTCATCCTCCCATCTCAGCCTCCTGAGTAGTTAATATTACAGGCTTGAGCCACCACGTTCCCCACAACTGATTGCTTTGGAAATATAAGGTCCATATCATGAAAAGATTTGGCATTACCTGAAGCAGATCTTTTTGAGCAAGGTCCCACTTCTTGATCCCATTGTCTCTGGACCCACTGAACAAGTTGTCCCCTTGAATGGTGAGGGCTTCTATGCCGTCATAATGAGGGGGCTCAAAATTGTGCGTGGGGTTCACAGTTCCCAGAGCCCCTTCGGTTACATCAAACATCTACAAGAGCAGCACGCAAATTTAGTAACTTTCCACTCAACATCTATAAGTACATATTCAAAGAAGCACAAACACATATACATACACACACACATTAATCAGACATAGTTATGTTTTGCTACAATACTTCACTAATCCTCAAATGAACACAGAGAATGAAGCTGAGCCTTGTTTCATGCTGTAACATGTTCGTATGTTTGCAGGCTTTTTAAGCTAAGCCTATATACTCCAAATTCTATTCGCCTACCACTCAATAGGCAAATGGAGTCCACAACTTGTAATGCATACTTTGATGTAATGGTCCTTGGAGCCGGTGATGATGAGATCCTGACCACTGGAAATCTGGTCCACAGTAAGACACATAACAGTCCCGAGATGGCCTGTTAGCTTTCCGGTAGACTGAAACCTTTGGAAGGAAAGAAAAAATGATTTTGTTTTGAAAATGTTTCTTAGCATGATAGAGTTAAACCTCAACAAAACTAATCTATAGTCTTTCATAAACCTGTGAAGCTGTTGACTAATTTTTTCTTGTTTCTTCCTCTTTTTTTTTTAGTGTGTGTTGGTACTGAGGCTTAAACTCAAGACCTGGGTGCTACCCCTTAGCTATTCTGCTTAAGGCTGCAAAACAGTCCATGAGATAGCCAGGAGAAGGAGGCTGAGATCTGAGGATTGCAGTTCAAAGACAAACCTGGGCCAGGAAAATTTGTAAGATTTTTTTTAATCACCAATTAACCACCAGAAAACTGGAAGCAGAGCTATGGCTCAAAGTGGTAGAGCACTAGCCTTGAGAAAAAACAAACAAACAAAAAAAAAAAAACCACTCAAAGACAGCACCCAGGACCCGATTTCAAGCCCCACAACCAACTAGAACAACAAAAAAGTCTATGAGACACTTAGCCCCACTCAACTATCCAAAAGCCAGAAGTGGAGCTAAGGCTCAAGTAATATAGTGTCAGAAAAGAAAAAAAAAAAAAGAAAAGGTTAAGCAAGAATGTGAGGCTCTACTGGGGTTCTACTCCCACCACTGGCTCAAAAAAGAAATTAAAAAAAGGAGAAGGAAGAAGAAAAGAAGTAAGGAGGAGGAAATGAAGATGACATCCTTACCTCTTTCTTACTTCCCAATTAAATTGTCTATTTCTAATACACTATTTCAGGACTGTAATTTCTCTCTCATCTATTTATCTATAAATTATGTTTCTACTTCCTCAGTTATGCTTTACAATGTATACTACACAAGTTTTTCCGAAGTTTTTCAAATAGATATTCACTGATTTAGCACAGACAAGTTCCTTGTGAGAAGCGCACTGTAGTATCTGAACTCACCTTCCTGAGCAGCTAAGATTACAAAACTTCACATTTCATGGGAAATGAAAATCAAGTTTACAATTCAACTTACCGTATTTTCTTTCTGACTACTTCTTCTTCTCAATTCTTCACAATTTATATAGATCTCTTTTTTCTGTGTCTGTGTACTCAAGGCCTGGGTGCTGTCCCTTTAGGTTTTTTGCTCAAGACTAGAGTTCTACCACTTGAGCAAGAGTTCTACTTCTGGCTTTTTGTGGTGAGCTGAATATAAGAATCTCACAGACTCTCCTGCCAGGGCTGTATTTGAACTGCAATTCTTAGATGTCACCCTGGAGAGTAGCTAAGATTACAGGTATGAGCCTCCAGTGCCCAATTCCACAATTTATATATATCTCATAACAAAATTTAAAAAACTCTTTATGAGGAGTTATGCTCTATAAAGTTATTAATTTTATAAACTTTCAAGTAAAGAATGTTTAAATTATTTGACATAAATGATTCTTCCAAATGTACCAGTAAATGTGGACGAAGATTTTCATCTCTTTCTAATAAAAAACACCATTTTCAGACAAGGGTTAAGAGACCATAAAATAATTCTGTCTCTCCTCCATTCACTTTTTGGCTTCATTAAGGAAAATATAACGGGAAAGAAGACTGGTGAGTATGTGGATGAAGATGAAGGGGACATTCAGGGGTAGTGTGTTGACATTCAGTTGCTGGTGGCTCACACTTGTAATCCTAGCTACCCAGGAGGCTAAGTTCTGAGGATCACAGTTTGAAGCCAGTCTGGGCAGAAAAGTTGTGAGGTTTTTATCTCCAATTAACCACCCAAAAGCTGGAAGTAGAGCTATGGCTCAAGTGGTAAAGCAAAAAAGCCAAATGAGAGCATAAGGCCCTGAGTTCAAGTCCCAGTACATGTCCACAAAAATAGATACGTTTGATAGTGCCTCCTCTGATTATAAAAATTAAATTTTATAAGCATAACTAGGAAGCATTACATTTTCTCAAATGCCTACCTTTTCAGATCCCACATTCTGACAGCATTTCCAGAAGCTGCATAGAGGAAGGTGCCGGTTGGGTTCAGTGCAATTTGATTGATTTGGTTTTCTCCAGAAGGAATGGCCACTGTCCGGCTGGTACTTGCAGAACAAGCATCTCCAAGAGTAACCTGACCTGAAGATCTTAACAAATGCAAAACAAAACAAAAAGATATTACATTTTCAGATATAAGTTTAGCTCACCTCTTCCTGAATTCCTAGGAGACAGGCTCTAGAAACTTTGTCTTTTTATTTGCATATGTACAGTGCCGAGCCTCCCACCCATCAGGCAGAACGTAAGGTGAATAAATAAATATATGATGGATTACACAGTTTAAAACTCAGTGTATGTCTAATATAATACTAGAAATTTCAGGCTTTTAATAAGAGATGATTAAAATATTGTTCAGAAAAGTCAGACATCAATGATAAATACACAGCAAATGATAGAAAGGTAATCCATTTTGTGGCAGTTTCAAGAAGCCCAGAAGGCCTAGAATATTCCTTTTGAATATAGATTTCCTCCCTGCCCCACTTTGGTGGGGCAGAGAAGGGGCTTGAATTCAAGGCCGCCAGCTCTCATTTGGCTGTTCAGCTCAAGGCTGGCAATAGACCACTTGAGCCACAATTCCACATTTTTGTCTGGGCTGGCTTTGAAACATAATCTTTAGATCTCAGCCCCCTAAGTAGCTACTATTACAGGCATGAGCCACTACAGCCTGTTGTCATAGATTTCCTCTGGGAATTACAGACATTAGGGACTTTTGTAATAATTTGCCATTTTTTTTCCTTCAGCCCAATTACAAATGATATATCTACTATGCACTAAAGCTACTATACACTAAAGACTTAAAACACTTTGATTTCCTTAGGTAAGTTCTAGATGGTAATTTTTTGAAACATTTTCCCTTTTAAACTCTGAAATAATAATTAAGCCAATCTTTTCAAATTTGATGTAATTCCATTAGATTGGTAAAATTCTAACATAGGATATAATATCCTTTCCCTACAAAATTTCCCTATAGAAAATTACTGATAGTTCTCAAATAATAAATCAGTACTGAAAAATGATTAGCCTATTTTACTTCTACTCTATCAATAAGTAAATATGAAACTTTTCAACATTTCCTTCTTTCCTGTAAACAATTATGGAGTTCTTGATCTCAAGGCAGAATGAATTATTATCTGTTTATGTTGTTTGTTTTGTTTGCCGGTTGTAGGGCTTGAACTCCGGGCTTGAGCACTGCCCCTAAGCTTCTTTTGTTCAAGGCTAGCACTCGACCACTTGAGCCACAGTGCCAATTCAGGCTTTTTCTGCATAGTTTATTGGAGATAAGAGCCTCACAGACTTTTGTGCCTTCAAACATCAATCCTCAGATCTCAGTGTGCTAAGTAGACCCACATTTCATTCTGTTGGGCAATTTTCTTTTCTCCTTATATTCTCCCTGTGCTTTTATGGTGAAGATTTTAACATCCTCTACGGAGTAGAGAAGTATTTTAAAAATATAAAACTAAGCCAGGTTCTGGTGGCTCACACCTGTAATCCTAGCTTCTCAGGGGGTTGAGATCTGAGAAGTAAGGTTTGAAGTCATCATTGGCAGGAAAGCCTTTGACATTCTATCTCCAATTAACCACCCCAAAAAGCCAGAAGTGGAGCTGTGGCTCAAGTGGTAAAGCACAATCCTTGAACAAAAAAGCTCAGAGATGGTGCCAAAGGCCCTGATTCCAAGCCCTAGGATGGGCACCAAAATAAGCAAACAAAAACAAAACAAACCCACTAAAATGTAAACATAGCATATAATTCCTTCTATTTCATAAGAAGAGAAGTAGTTGACTCTTATGCTATTTGTTTTCTTAATTACTTACGTTAGTGTTCGAACACACTTCGCTGAATCTCTGATATCCCACACCTTAATATAAGATGTTGACACGGTAAAGACCAAGCTGGTGTAATTACAGTATTTCACAGACACTACGTTGTTGGGATGGCTGCCCAGCGACATGATCTCCTGCCCTGTCACTAGATTCCATACTTTACAAGTACGATCTGCAACAGACAGAAATGGAGACAAATGGTTAATACAGTTCTATTGACAGTCAAAACTATTTAAACCATTTCTCTTTCATGAGAAAAAAAAAACAGGAAAGAATAAAGAATAAAATAATTATCCAGTTCATCCCTGGCCTACTACAGCAGGTTCAGAGGTATGAGAGATGACAGTCTGGGGTGTCTATGTATTATGTGGTATTTTTAAGTAATTATGTAAAATTTTGAACTAGGTGCCTGTGGCTTACGCCTGTAATCCTAACTACTCAGGAAGCCGAGATCTGAAGGTTGCAGTTTAAAGCCAGCCTCAGCAGGAAAGTCCATGAGACTCTTCACTTTAATTACCCAGCAAAAAGCTGGAAATGGAGCTGTGGCTCAAGTGGTAGAGCCTTAGCCTTGAGCAAAAAAGCTCAGAAGCAGCACCTAGACACTAAGTTCAAGCCCTGGACAGACACAAAAGCAAGCAAACAAACAAATAAATTGAAATAGTCATATCAAAAGGGTCTTGATTTAAATGGCTCAATTTTAAATGGTTATCTTATATCAGTCTCTTCAAAACTACTGTTTGGTCATATTCCTATAGCCTTGACACACTAATCCAACTGGTAAACACCTTTCCTTTTCAGTGGAATGGTAGATTTTACTTTTATTCTGAGTCAAAATAGAAACAAAAAATTATTCTATTTTTTTTCTTTTTTTAGTTTTTTTGGGTCCAGTCATGGGGCCTGAACCCTGGGCCTGGGCGCTGTCCTTTAGCTATTCAGCTCAAGGCTAGCGCTCTATCACTTGAGCCACAGCACCACTTCTGGCTTTTTTCTTTTTGCCTATATGGTGCTGAGGAATCGAACCCAGAGCCTCAGGCATGCAAGGCAAGCGCTCTACCACTGAGCCACCTTCCCAGCCCCTATTCTATTTTTTTTTTCTGACATGTTGACTATCCTGGAGAGAACAATTTAAGTTGAATTATTAGATAAGTATATTTTCGCACAACAGATTTTTTTGACTGAGGAGTTTCCATTGGAATTTTAATTGGGATATTTACCAATATTTTCAATTTGTGTGCACGTGCACAACACACATGTGTGCCCCTGCCAATACCAAAGCACTGCCCCTTAGCTTTAGTCCCTCAAGGTTGGCATTCTACCAGTTAAACCACACCTCTACTCCAGCTTTTTTTCTGGCTAATGGGAGATAAGAGTCTCATAGACTTTTCTGTCTGGGCTCATTTCAAACCTTGATCCTCAGATCTCAGCCTTCTTAGTAGCTAGGATTAGAGGTGTGAGCCAATAAGTATCATCAAATCTTTTTCTTAAACTTTTAAACTCTTGGTCTGGTATGCTCCAAAGCAGGTATTTCAAAAGGAGTAAAAGAGTACAAGTGGAAATGTTTCTCCAGTTTTCTTACTTACCAGTTATATCAACCCACACTATTTAATCTCTTAAACACTAAGTTCCTCTACCTGTGACAAAAGAAGGCAACAGGTTCCATGGGTACTGGGTACTGGGTACTACAACAGTTCTCACAGATAGAGTTGGGAGAAGTAAATGAGATATACAGTGCTGTGTCACTTCTGGTACATGCATCAAACATGGCGGCTGCCAGTGTCCTTTTCTTTTCTTTTCTACTGCACTGTGTATTTTAATGGCCTGTTTTAGATCTATGTACTGGTATGCATTACAAAAAGCCCAGAATTCTGCATATACTAGGTGCCTTCTTACTGAATGGAGATGCAATCTCTGGATCATAATACAATGTATTTATAAAGGGGCTGTCCTTTCTCCCCAGTAGTGTAGTGATTTGATATAATTTAGGAGTTCAACCAACTGGTCAGCTTTCTTACTGGAGATAAATAGTTGCACTTAAAAACAAAAACCAACCAACTGACCAAACAAACAAACAAACAAAAAAACAGGACTTTTGAGCAGGGCCCTGGTGGCTCACACTTGTAATCCTAGTTATTCAGGAGGCTGAGATCTGAGGATTACAGTTCAAAGCTAGCCTGGGTAGCAAGTCTGTGAGACTCCGATCTCCAATTAACCACCAGAAAATCAGAAGTGGTTCTGTGGCTCAAGTGGTAGAACAGTAACCTTGAACACAAAGAGGCTCAGGGACATTGCCCAGGCCCTGTGCAAGCCCTAAGAGTGACCAAAAAAAAAAAAAAGTCTGCTGAAAACTTAGCCATTAAAATAAACCAAACACCTATTAGATATCCACATTAGAGAACAACTGGCACCTTTTGATCCAGTGAAGAGAAGGTCATTGGTAGAATCCACACAGAGCACAGCTTTGGTGTGTCCTTCTGCGATGTGCACACACTGAAGTGGAGAGGCCCGAATTCCTTTGGAAGCAGGAAATGGGTTGATTATGCCCCTAAGGTATGGAAAAAGAAACAAGCAAAGGTTCACTTCCACAGCTCTAGGGTGAGACCAGGTTGAATTATTGCCCTCATTTTATAAAACCTTTATTAGCAGGGACCAGTAGCTCATGCCTGTAATCCTAACTACTCAGGAAGCTGAGATCTGAGGGTCACTGTTAATCTAGACGGTCTCTGGTGTGCAATTAATCTTTCACTAGTCATAAAGACAAAGGTAAGGTGTTACGTGGACTGAAAAACATATCAGTGAAACACACCAAAAAATTCATTTACTTTATATACCTATCTAGTGCTAAAATAATCATTGGATAAAATTTAAACAAAACATTTAAGTCAAAGATAGAACTGAATCCCACAAATAGAAAAAAAGATCAAAAGTATTCTAAATTGTAAAACCTAATGGGGCTGTATCTGTTGAACACAAACCGGAGGAGTTAATAACTTATAGTCCTCTGTCTACTGATATAGTCGATGGTTTATTGGTTCAGTGGAAGCAAACGTTTCAGGAGGATATGCTGGGCATACTGCACTGTGCCTAGGCCACATGTGGAACAGAGCTTAGTCTGAGATGCCACATTTTAAGACCATGGAGAAACTAGAGCCCTTCTAAAGCAAGAGAAGCAAAAGAAAAGACTTAATGGTTTCAGGAGCAATTGGTGAAACTAGAACTATTAAGCTGACCAAAGCACACACATCAGAGACAGGAGGACACAACAGCATCATTAAAGGGCTGAACATGCCAGGGGCCAGTGGCTCACGCCTGTAATCCTAGCTGCTCAGGAGGCTGAGAGCTGAGAATGGTAGTTCAAAGCAAGCCAGGGCAGGCCATGAAACTCTTATTTCCAGTAAACTACTCAGAAAAAAACTAGAAGTGGTGCTGTATGGCTCAAGTGGTAGAGTGCTAGCCTTGAATTAAAAAAAAAAAAAAGGTCAGGGATAGAGCACAGGCCCAGAGTTCAAGCCCCAGAACCAGAAAAAAAAGGGGAGGGGGGGAGACTTAATATTAAGCTGGGCTCTTGTGGCTCATGCCTAAAATCCTAGCTACTTAAGAGGCTGACATTGGAGGATCCTAGTTCAAGCCAGCTCCAGGAAGAAACTCCATGAGACTTATCTCTAATTAACCACCAAGAAGTCAGACGTGGAATGGTGGTTCAAGTGGTACAGTGCCAGCCTTGAGCAGAAATCTAAGGGATGATTGGTGGCCAGGCCCTAAGGCTAAGCTCAGGACTAGCACACATGCACACAAATGAAGGCTGACTTTATTTATTTATTTTATCCATTGTCAGGCCTGAGCCCTCAGCCTGGGCGCTGTCCCTCAGCTCTTCATCTCAAGGCTAGTGCTCTACCACTTGAGCCACAGTGCCACTTCTGATTTTTCTGCTTATATGGTGCTGAGGAATCAAACCCAGGGCCTCATGCATGCAAGGCAAGCACTCTACCACTGAGCCACCTTCCCAGCCCAAGGCTGAATATTTTTAAATATAGTATCCCACTCTAAAAGTGGGATACTGGAGAGAATGAGGCTGGAGGATCTGAGTTCTTGGCCAGCTTAGACAAAGTTAGCAAGACTCTATTTCTAAAACAAAATAAAAGGATTGTAGTTGTGGCCAAGTGGTAGAGCATGTGCTTAGCATATGCAAGGCCGTGGGTTTCATCTCCAGCATGTTAAAAAAAAATTAATTTTTAAAAAATAGCTGGGCATGACTATAATCTTAGATACTTAGGGGCCTGACATCTAGAAAATCATGATCCAAATCTCTCCCCAACAGAAAAGTCTGAGAGAGTCCACTCCAAAATAACGAGGGAAAAATGCGCTGAGTTAGCTCAAGAGATAAAGCATCAGCTCAGCAAGTAAACTGGGCAGATATGAGACTCTGAGTTCAAACTTCAGTACAAGGAAAGAAGGAAGGAAGGAAGGAAGGGAGGGAGGGAGGGAGGGAAGGAAGGAAGGAAGAAGGGAGGAAGGGAGGGAGGGAAGGAAGGAAGGAAGGAAGGAGAGAAAGAAAGAGAGAGAAAGACTAAGAAAGAAAGAAAGAAGGGAGGGAGGGAAGAAGGGAGGGAGGAAGGGAGGGAAGGAAGGAAGGAAGGAAGGGAGGAAGGAAGGAAGGAAGGAAAGAAGGAAGGAAGGAAGGAAGGGAGGGAGGGAGGGAGGGAGGGAGGGAGGGAGGGAAGGAAGGAAGGAAGAAGGGAGGAAGGGAGGGAGGGAAGGAAGGAGGGAGGGAAAGAAGGAAGGGGAGGGAGGGAGGGAGGAGAGAGAAGGAGAAGAGAGGAGAGTAGAGGAAGAGAAGGGAGAGGAAGGAAGGGGAAAAGAGGAAAGAAGGGAAAGGCGGGAAGAGATATAGGAAGGGGAGTAGAGGGGAAAAGAAGGTAGGGAAGGGGAAGAGGAAGAGGAAGAGAAGGTGGGGGAAATTTCCTCAAAAATCTGAATTTGCCATGTTGAAGTTCTATTAATATGTGGTTCATAAATGTGAATTAATGTCATTATATTTACAAGCATACCTTCAAATACTGGAAAGGCACTATTCTAATGAAGTGTAGGCTCTTGTTACTTTTCAAGCAGCAAATATATATGTATATATATATGAAATGTGTGTATGGACTATATACATATGGAATGTGTGTGCGTGTATACATATATATATACACACACATATACATACACATACATGGATGGATAATGAACGTTTATGTTAGAAGTATAGGCACTGTTTTTGATATGTATTTAATGACAGAAGTCATCCTAAGGGAGGGAAAAAACTAAACCACACCTTTAGTTATAAAATACTATGTTTCTAAAGCATCCAGGACATCTCTTTTTGGGGGGATTCATTCACATTCTGAAACATAAACATAAACTTGGAGATGGTTTCTTCAAATTAAGTTTAAATCATGAAAATTTGTACAACAGCTCTGATGTGAAGGGGAGGAAAATACTTTTTTTTTTTCCCATGCAAACCAGTCAAGTCTTGTAATACTGTGAGGCGAATGTGATAACCACTACACTACTGAAACCCCTCTTAAGTCTTGTAATACTGTGAACAAGATTAATCTCCCCTTCCCCTGTCTACCTTGCGGAATATCTGCTGATGACAAGGAAAATGTCTATAAAGCAGGTGAACCAATGGGAAGGGAGAGAAGACAAAAGGACGGATAGAACCATGAGTGTCAGAGAAAGAGAAAGACCTGCCCTCAAACTAACATGAGACGATGTAAAGGTATTTTGGTTTGGTTTGGTTTGGTTTGGTGCCTGGGGCTAACCTCAAGTTCTGGGTGCAGTACCTGAGCCTGCGCTCTACCACCTGAACCACAACTCCACTGCCAGCTTTTTAGTGGTTAATCAGAGATAATTGATTGGGTCTGAATGTAAATCCTCAGATTTCAGACTTTTGAGTAGCTAGGATTACAGGTGTGAGCCACTGGTGCCTGGCTTTTCCCATTTAAATTGCTCAACTAATGAGAAGAAAAAAAAAATACCATCTACCTCCCCAAGTTTGAAGCAATGAAAATACTGAAATCACTGCGAAGGAAACTCCCTTCTCACCAGTATTCATAAAACTTGATGGCTTTTAAAGAACATATTTAGATTAGAGACAGAACAAACACCATGACTTGGAAGGCACCATATAAAAAGACTTGGCCACTATAAAAATATCAATGTGCTTCTATGATTTCCAACAAGTATTGCATGCAACAGAAAAAAAAAGGTATTTTCCTAGAATTTCTAAGAAAGGCATTAAAAACATCAGTGAAATGCAAGAGGGTAGGAAGGGTAGAAAGAAAGTACCTGTGTACCTCCGACAGAGAGGAGTCACTCTCATCAGACCTACAGTGGAAGAGTTAGAATTATGAGGAAAAGAATTACAGATGTCAACAGGCAGAGATGCTGACATTGGGTTGAAAGCCAACAACACGAATAACAGAAATACAGCAAACATTTCCTTTTAGCTTTGCAGTGGGTATCAGCAAGGTAAAGCTCAGACAAACAAGGTAGTTTTGGTTCTCAGTTTTGTTTTGTGTTTTCTTACAAAGACTTGAGGGGGCTGAAAGCATGGGTAAGTTTCTATTATTGACCCACAGAATATATTTTTACCTTGATAGGTTAAGCTCTGGAAGGGAATAATCCTAGCTACAAGCTATATCACTTCAAGTTTTGTTCCATTTACTTTGATGAATGCTTAATGTTTTTATATTCTCATGTCAATAACTATTAATGAATTTAATTCATCTTAACAATTAGGTTTTTGTGTGCCAGTATAAAGGCTTGAACTCAAGGCCTGAGTGCAGCCCTTAGCTTTTTCACTCAAAGCTGGCACCCTACCACTTGAGTCACAGTTCTACTTTTGGCTTTTTTGGGTGGTAACTGGTGATAAGAGTCTCATAGACTTTCCTGCTTGGGCTGTTTTTTTTTTTTATTGTGAAAATACTGTACAGAGGGTTACAATTACATGGGCAAGATAATGAGTACATTTCTTATCAAGCATTGTAGCCTCCTCCTTTGTTTCCCCTTCCCATCCTTGGGCTGGTTTTGAACCTTGATCCTCAGATCTCAACATCCTGAGCAGCTAGGATTACAGGCATCAGCCACCAGCACCTGGACATCTTGACAATTATTACCTTAAATTTAGACTTTGATGTGGAAGATCCACAATGCATTGTATATTTACATATAACATAAACCATTCAAACTTGTAATAACCCTTGAGTTTATTGTTGTTTTCTTTTGTGCCAGTACTAGGGCTTGAACTCAGGGTCCCTGACTCTTGATTAGCTATTTTGCTCAAGGCTGGGGCTCTACCACTTGAGCCATAGCTCCATTTCTGGGTTTGAGGGGGTTTTGCAGGTTAGTTGGAAATGAGTCTCTTGGGTTTGTCTGTCCAGGCTGGCTTTGAACAGAAATCTTCAGCTCTCATCCTCCTCAGTAGCTAGGATTATAGGCATGAGCCACTGGCTCCCGGCTTAACCCACGGTTTTAACTTAGCTCAAAAACACTGAGTTCTTTGGCATAAAGAGGCCCCTTTGTAATTGGGAGACTTTTGTAGGGCATCAAAGTTAAGCAAAGCCACTCCTGATTGCCTTATCTGAAAACTCAAAAACTGTGAGTAAGGGAATTGTAAACATTCATTCAGACTGTGTAACAGGCATGGGGCAAATGTCATAAAGTATGGAGGTTTAATACCTCACTAATGAAATACACCAGTCTCAAAAAAGAACCTCAAAGAAAGTGATGTAAAAAGGTAGAGGGCCTTTCAATAGAATAAAGTCAATTGTTCAAAGTTTTAGCTTAACAGAGGGACATCAGAGTCAAATTATTGGAAGATCATAAAGAATTTCATAACATGTAAACTATAATCCAATTGTCAATATTACCTGACAGAAATTTTTTAAAACACTGTGAATGTAACATAGACAAAATGTAGCAGATTTTAATATATAGACAATAAAAATAGAATTCCCAAAGATATTCTGAATGTCTGACTTTTCTAATTATTGAGAAAAATGACTTCATAATATTAATGATTTTGTTATTTAGTAGCAGCACATAATAACATTTAATTCTCTAGATAAATTTAAAGAATGTGCTGCTAATGATCAAACTGTATTAAAATCTAATAAAGCAGATAATTGATCCACAATTCAAACAGATTAGAAGTTAACTTGAAAATTGTAAGTGATTTTAAATTTATAGAGCCACTTGGCACAAGTTAAACATGCCAGGGAGAGCTTAAATGGCATCTTATACATCTCAGAGACTGTTAATATGTGTAGGGGAAATAAGAGCAAAAGACAGGATAACAAAGCATATAGGAAACAGTTACATATTAAACACATAAATTCACAATGTCATTATTCAAAATCCAAGCAGAGTTAGTATTTAATGGCAATATAGTTAGTATTGCATTCTTGCAAGAGAGATTCTGGTTCTATGTGAACATACCTTTTCTCTTTTAATTTAATGAAAGCTACACTTTTTCCCACCTCCTTCTAATTCCTCCTCCCCTGTAACTCTTTTCCACTTTGACCCTCTCTATCCACTAAAGTGCTGTTCTAGTCAAAGATCACAATGACTAAAACGTGGTAGTGGATTTATCTAGCACAACCAAATTGACAGACATAGGTTATATGTCAAACAGTGGTCTTTGTCAGTTTTTAAGCCTACTAAGGCAAGAAGGGTGTGGGGAAAGAGCCTCCTTTTAAGATTGGTGGTCTTGGAGAAGCTGAAGAATCCCAAGAAATTAAAAAACTTTAAGTTGGATCAAAGGTTTCCCAGTTCAAATTTACTGGCAAAAAGAAAGAAAAGATAGTGCAAATCTACAACAGGGAATAACGTTCAGCAGGAGAATGGTTTTCTCGAATGTGGGCTCTTATGCCTCCTTTCCATTTGAAAACTATATAAAATATGGCAAGAGTTCACAAGTCAGACTCCATCTCTTACACAGAGATGACTTAATGTTTCCACGGACTCCAATGAGGGGTTCAGAATGCTGTTTGCATAGTGTGAGGGGCTCCTTCCACAATGACTTACTTATCCTGCTGAACTGTTGTGTTTCCCTGTGAAACAGTTAGACGATTAAAGACATTCAGGTCATTACGGGGCCGGCTTGGTGGGGAAGAAGGAGGTGAGAGGCTAGCCTCTGAAGTTCCAGAATCTGAGCTACAAGAAAAAGAGAACATTAAGACGAGCAGCTTTAAATGGTTATGCTTTGTTATGTACATTATAAGAAACATGCATTAAAATATATATGTATATAAGCTTTTTGTTAGATAATTCCTTCTTTTCTTCCTCTTTTTCTTTTTTCAAAGATAAATAAAATGCTCTTGGAGCAATATGTTTTGCACTGGTTTTTGCTACCCTGGCCACAAGATGGCACTATAGCAAAGCTAGCTATAGTGCCATCTTGTCACTAAAGAAAGATACATTTAAAATCACATAGTTGTAGAATTATGACCAAATTGCTCACTTTACAGGTAAGGAAACAGACCCAGAGAGCTTAAAAGCCACTTTCCTATTAAGTTGAATTATTTATGTATTTTTAATGTATTTATTTGTTCCATTCCTCATTTTCCAATGATTCTTGAGATCAAATTTCATAGAAACAAGCAAATTTCATCTTTAAAAATAGAAGAGAAAGGATGATTCGAAGGATAATTCCTATGACGTTCAAGTCAGCTATAGCAGTGGTCAAAGAAGAGATTATAGTCAGGCACCAGTGGCTCATGCCTATAATCTTGGTTACTCAGGAAGCTAAGGATTCAGGTTCAAAACCATCAAAGACAGATAAATCCCAGACACTCTTAACTCCAATTAACTAGCAAAACGTTAGAAGTGGAGCTGTTGCTCAAGTGGTAAAGCATTAGTTTTAAGCAAAAAAGCTAAAGAGCCCTGCCAGTACTGGGTGTGCATGTGCATGCGTGCGTGCGTGCCTCTGTGTGTGTGTGTGTGTGCTTGCACACGTGTACATGTGCAGTTTTTTTGCATGAAAGAAAGGATGGATAAGACTAATCACTTAGGTAAGGAAAATACATGCACATTTTTTCTGGTTAAAAATAATGAAGGAAATGCACTTTATTAATGTTTAAATTAGGTTGGCATGGATGTCATCCCTCAAGAATGCATCTGAGACCTATCTGTCACTAGCAGCAGTTTAATAATCTGAGGGAACGTGTGAAGGTGCATGCTGTAGTGTTGTAATTTATTAAATGCTCAGGGACATGGATCACCAGATTATACTTTGCACTGCTAAGTAAACTGACCCTCCCTGTACATCCAAAAGAAACAATTGAGGAGAATACTAACAACTCAAACAGTTAAAAAAAAATGGCAAAAACGAACACGCCTGAGGATTAACAGTATGAGTAGGGCTTTTTTTGTTGTTAGTAGTCTGAAGAGGTAAAGTCAATGTCAGAGATATCAGATGACATAATTAATTCAAATTCTTCCAGAAGACAACTTGCAACATAGATTAAATAAACCTCAGCCCATGTGCATATTAACTCTTTCAGTGATAGATAAAGCCAGGTACTGGTGGCTGGTACCTATAATCCTAGCTACTCCGAATGTAGAGAGCTGAAGATCACAGTTCGAAGCCAGCCCAGATAGAAAAACTTGTGAGATTCTTATTTCCAATGAACTAGCACAATGCCAGAAATGGAGATGTGGCTCAAGTGGTATAGTACCAGCTTTGAGTGAAAAAGCCAAGAGAGAGCATGAGATACTGAGTCCAAGCACCAAACAACAAGAAAAAGAGAAGCAACTAAAAAAGGGACAGTGTACATGAATGGTGACAAGTGCTCAAATATATTAACAGGTATATGTGTAACAAGAAAGTTACAATGAGCTGGGTGCTGATGGTTCACACCTGTAATCCTAGCTACTCAAGAGGCTGAGATCTGAGGATCGTGCTTCAAGGCCAGCCCTGGCAAGAAAGTCTCTATGAGACTCTCAGCTCCAATTAACCACCAGAAAACTGTGGCTCAAAGTGGTAGAGTGCAAGCCCTGAGCAAAAGAGCTCAGGGACAGTGTCCAGACCCTTAGTTCAAGCCCCACGACTGGCAAAAAATAAAAATAAAAAAAGTACATAACCACTTAGCCAAGCCAACAGCTGACTTGATTGTCCTAACTACTTAAATACTCATAACCACACAGCCAGTCTCAGTAAAGCAAATAAATCCACTCTTTTCCTTTAGCAAGGTGCAGAGGACACTGTGATGTACCACCTAATAGATAAAGAACATCAGTAACTAACTTACTGCTTTTGCTCCTTGGCCTTTGGCTTTTCTGTTTTCTCATATACCTTTCTCCTTGTTACTGGTGAAGGCTCTGGTAATTTTTTTTCTGATATAGATGACTGTCTGGAACTAAAATAGGAAGAGGTGACTTAAATTATCTTTTATTATTTTAAATATAAAATACCATTTGGGGAGATATTGGATCTAAGCTTTTTAGTATTGTAATAACTGCAACATACAAACAGTGTTACTTGGGAACAACAACAAAATAAAGGTAAGATAGGACAATATTATAGGAATTAATTGTTAGTTATGGAAGTTCTGTAACTATATTTTTAAATAAGAAGACTTATTAAATATATACAAACATATACTTATTATATGTAAATATATATACTTAATATATACCTACTATATGTGTATACAAAATATGTAAAAACTTTTAACAGAAACAGAAAACACACCAATGTCAAATAACCACAATAAGTGTTAAAGTAAAAATGTTAAAGTTTCACTGGAAATTGCCTTATCTAAAATAAAATTACCCTTATGATAATTATTGCAAGAACAAAAACACTAGAATATCAGAATGTGAGAAACAATTGGATTTAAAAAAAATAAATGTTTAGGTTCACTTTTAAAATGGAAGAAAAAAAAAAAAGAAAGCATTACCTGAATCTGGATTCCTGGTCACAGATTTATCCTTGACGTTCCAAAGTGTCTACTCATCTGACAAACTGAATACTGAATACATGCGAGTTTCTAAAAGTCTGTTCCCAATCTACATTACTACCTTTGCTAAAAATATTTCTTCTACTCTCATCACAAAAGCATTGAAGCCATATGGGTTAGCAATATCCAAAACTAATTATATAAGCCACCTCAAGCACATGCCAGAAAATTCTATGTCATCATTAATACTAATTTTGAAATAAAAGGTAGCAGGTGGGACTCTGAATAGAAGACAACAGAAATACCTTCATAAAATGAAGAATATTTGGGAAAACAAATATTCAAGAGTGGAAAGTCTATTACTTTGTATTATTTGCAGAGTCCTACAGTGTATGATCTTGGGAAGCTAACATTCCTCAATGCAGAGATGATCAGCCACTTGATAGATAGTATGTGAGGGTTAGTTTGAAAAGTATTACTAAAAATTCATTACAAATGAATAAATAGTCTTATTTTGACATTAACTACCAAAACTTAAAACACACCACACACACACACACACACACACACACACACACACACACACACACACACACATACACAGAGTAGACATTCATATTAATCAGTGTAGGAAAAATCTTTGTTCTCAAAATAAAATGAAAAAAAGTTCTAAGCAAGATTTTTTTGAATAGAATTTTTGTTCAAAATATCAGGTAGGAGGGCAAATATTACCTTCTTCGAATCTTTAATAATGCCAAGAAAAAATACTTTGTGGACACATTTCTCTCATACATACAATGTGCTTTATGGTAAACATTTAAGAAAGCAGCCAGGCACTGGTAGTTCATACTTGTAATCCTAGCTACTTAGGAGGCTGGGATCTGAGGATCTTATTTCAAAGACACTTCAAGTAGAAAAATTCATGTCCAGTTAACTAGGATAAAAAACAAACTAGTGATATGGCTCAAGGGGTAAAGCAACAGCCTAGAGTGATAAAGCCAAACTAGAGTGTGAGACTTTAATTTAAAGGCCCAGTACCAACAGCACAAGAAAAATAAATTGAAAATTAGGAAAGCTTAAAATGTACTGTTTATAAGTAGCATTTTTTTCTTGAAGGATCAACACACTTACATTCCTAATCAGGCTCTTGCAACTAGAACATAGGTAATTTGAAGCAAATTTGAATCTTTTGAGCTTCTATTTATATATCATGGTTTAACTTTAACTTAGGTATTTCTAAATAGGTTTTGTCTGCAATTCATAAACCCAGTTCTTGTGAAAATTATAATCCTATAGAATGATCCTAAAAAAAAATCTCAAGGACTTGGATTGTGGCTTAATGGTGGAGTGTTTGCTTAGCATGTATGAGGTTCTGGGTTCAATTCTTTGGTATCACATAACCAGCAACAACAACAAAAAAATCTCAAATTACTTTAACTGTTCAAACTAATATGGAAGAAAACACCTAACAGAAATTAACTTTGAAAAATAGAGACACTGCTTACATAATCTTTTTAAAAAAAGAAATAAGAAATTGGCAACATGCATATTAAAAAAATTTTTAAGCAAAGAGAAAGGAAGTTAGTGTAGCTAGGCCCAACTTACATGCTGCCTATCTTAGAAGGCAAGCCAGATGGGAGAGGAAGCTCTTTTTCCCTAGCAGAAGTACCACTTGTCTCTGTATGCATTCCAATCTCTTGCCCTTCTGCGACAGGAGTCAGAGGGCCAGGCAAGGAGGCATCTCCTGTACTAGTGTCTGAAGCTAGTTCACTGCTATCTGCATACAGCAATTCCATCTGAGTGGTCGTTCTCCTCCGGGCCTAGTTAGAGAATGAAAGGAAAAGCAATCAGGAGCAAACTTATGCATAAAACTCAATTAGGGAAGAGAGATGTATATTAGTTTGAAGTAGGTTAAAAAATACATATACATACATACATATACATATACATATATATACACATATATATATATGTATATATATATATATATATATATATATATTTAGTGTCTTTTCCTAGCAGGTGTGTCAAACAGAGTGTATGAGATGGTGATGAGCCAGCATGGAACACAGCCCTTACTCAGAACTCCTGCAAGCACCAGTAACAGCTAACATTTATATTGTACTCATGTGCCAGGTACTGTTCTAAACACTTAATTACATTAGTGTGTGGGTAGGTCATATCATCTCAATTCACTAATATGCAGAAAATGAACATACAGAAAAGCTAAATGACTTGCCCAAGATCACACATCTGATATCAGTATCACTGTATTAAAAGGAAGAGAAGAGAGAAGAAAGAGGAGGGGAAGAAGGGGGGGAGAAAGGGAAGGAAAGGGAGAAGGAAAGGGAGAAGGGAGGAAGGAAGGAAGGAAGGAAGGAAGGAAGGAAGGAAGGAAGGAAGGAAGGAAGGAAAGGAAGGGAAGGGAAGGAAGGAAGGGAAGGAAGGGAAGGAAGGGAAGGAGGGAGGGAAGACATGTTTCAGTTTCCTGGTGTTCATTTGTTCAAAGAAGTTATACCATTTAATTATATCTTATTCAAAAAAAAAACAGTGCAGGGCTGGGAAGGTGGCTCAGTGGTAGAGCGCTTGCCTTGCATGCATGAGGCCCTGGGTTCAATTCCTCACACCACATAAGCAAAAAGAAAAAAGCTGGAAATGGTGCTATGGCTCAAGTGGAAGAGTGCTAGCCTTGAGCTGAAGAGCGACAGCGCCCAGGCCGAGTTCAGGCCCCATGACCGGACCCAAAAAAAAAAAAAGTGCAAAAGCATAGTAAAGTTTAGTTCCTAAAAGAGAAAATTTCAAAATTAATTTCTTTCCAATTATCACAAGGGGAATATTTAAAAAACTGAATTTCTTATAAAGGAGAGTTTGAGCACAAGCATGACCCTTGCTACTTTTTTTTTGGGGGGGGGGCGGGGGCAGCCATGAGGCTTGGCACAGTCCCTGCACTCTTCAGCTCAAGGCAAGTGCTCTACTGCTTGAGCCACAGTGCCACTTCTGGTTTTCTAGTGGTTTATTGGAGATAAGAGTCTCACAGACTTTCCTGTCCAGGCTGGCTTTGAACCTGAGATTTCAGCCTCCTGAGGAGCTAGGATTACAGGCATAGCCACTGGCGCCCAGCCCTTGCTACTCTCTTAAAAAGGTAAATCTGAGACCTCTCTGTTATTCTGATTGTAGACAACACTATAAACAAATGTTTACTGGTCATTTTAATTCTCCTTACCTTGTTCTTAGGTTTCACCTCACCACAAAGCTTCATAAGGTCTGAGGATAGTGTGCTGTATGTAAACAAGGAATTAACCATGAGATCATGCAAACTTATTATAGAAAACTACATTTTTTAACTATTGAAAAATGTCTATGGAAAACATAAAAAGATATTTCACATCAAAATGAGCTAGATGGCAGGTGCTCATGCCTATAATCCTAGCTATTTAGGAAGCTGAGATCTAAGGATCAAGGATGAAAGCCAGCGTGGAGAGAAAAGTTCATAACTCTTAACTCTAACAGCAAAAAGCCAGAAGTGGAGATGTGGCTCAAGTGGTTGAATACCATCCTTGAGTGAAAAAAGCCAAGGGAGAGCATAAGCATGTATGTGTGTGTACATACATGCACATGCACATGTGCACACACACATACACACACTCACATAAATGAAATTGACTTTTCTACTTTAAATATTCCTGTATTTTTTATTTTATTTTTTGTCTGAGACCAGGACTCAAACTCAGTACCTGACAGTTTCACTCATTGGCTGGCACTCTACTAACTAAGTCATGTCTCCAACTCCTTTTCTTTTTTTTGTATTTTTATTTTAAAATTGTGATAGTTAATTGTGATAGTTGGTTTGCTCTCCATATTATTGATTCTATTGCTATTAACTTAGCCATAAAATTCAAAATTATCTCTATTTTATCATAACTTTTTTTTGTTGCCAGTCCTGGGGCTTGAACTCAGAGCCTGGGCATTGTCCCTGAGCTTCTTTTGCTCAAGGCACTGTACCACTTGAGCCACAACACCACTTCTGGCTTTTCCTGCTTATGTGGTACTGAGGAATCGAACCTAGGGCTTCATGCATGCTAGGCAAGCACTCTACCACTAAACCACATTCCCAGCCCTTATCATAACTTTTGATACAAGATGACAAGTATAGAAACAAATCAAATCTATTGAGTCTCTAAAGGTTCTTTTACCTTCCCTCGGATCCTGGGCTGTTTAAAGGTGCATCTTCATCAGTACTGTCATCTACATTTTCTAAAAGGAAATGTCACAAACGTTAAGTGTTATCCACATGTCATTGCTGGAATGGTGACCATAATCCCTATGCTAAATCTCTCAGATATGGTCACTTGGGCTTTACTTGCTGAATCAAAATAGATACTTACAAAATACTTCTGTGAAATCCCATTGACTACATGTCTGAAGATGGGGCAAAGTTTGTTCAAATAGGAAAAACATAAATCTGAATGATGACACATGGAAGAATAATATTGAAAGACTGGGAATTAGATCATCATTTCAGTATATGTAATTATATATATATATATACATACACATAGATATATACACTTTTTTATGTGTGTGTACCAGTACTTGGACTTGAACTCAGGGCTTCTCACTCTCTCTTGACTTTTTCACTCAAATCCGGCACTCTGCCACTTGAACCACAGGTTTACTTCTGGGTTTTTAGAAGTGAGTAGGAGATAAGAGTCTCAAAACTTTTCTGCCTGGGCTGGCTTTGAACCATGATTCTCAGATCTTAGACTCCTGAATATTTAGAATTACAGGTGTGATCCAACAGCGCCCGACTCTCAAAAGACCCTAATTTTAAAGATAGCATGTATGTTTATATGTGTGTGTGACCTTTTATCAGAGTTCTGTATTTATCATATATTATTCAAGCACCCAAATACACAGATTAAAATTCCAAGGCTAAAGTAAATACTGCCTGGGCACCTTCCATGTACTGAAATACATCAATATAATCATATTTGGTATACTTTAACAGCTATCCCAACCTAGTTATATATTTTTCTGTTTTTTTCTAACATTTGTTTCTAAGTAGCAAGAATGTATATGTTACGTAGAAGTTACTCATGGGCATGCAACTCATTCACATGTACACAGAAGACATAGAAAATAGGTTTACATGCAACAGTCTGAAAACTAATACAAATAAACCAATGCTACTTTAGAACCATGGTAGCACACTAGAAACAGGGGGTAGGACAAAATTAAACAAAGAAACCTAGTAGGAAGCCAGTATACCAAACAGCCACAACAAGTAAACAATAAAACACATGTTTTATTATAAAATTATTCCAAAAAAGTGAAGACAGTAGTATATGCAACATATACCTATGAATGCATGTCTCTATCTATCTAATCTATCATGTATCTGTCACCTATTAAATGTGTGTATATATAGAGATGTTAATTCACTCCTTTTTAATTTTACATCATGTAAGTATCTAAAAGGGACATAGATAACTAATTTCTATCTTTCCACGGACGTATGCTTCCTTTCTCACTGGTTGGCATATACCCTGGCAGAAATTCAGTAATATTTCATAGTATTATCTAACATGGAGTCACATCTAGGACACACTTCAATTTCTGAAATGAAGACAATGGTGTTTTCCTAGGCAATCTGTACCCCAAAGCACATCATTCAAAGGAAGCATAAGGATCTGCTCTAAAGATTGGCAAGGCAATGAAACTATCTAGAAAATAGAACTACATAAAACAACAAGCTTCGTTCTGCTTTCCCAGGTATATAGGTAGGCTAAGATATGTTAGTGTCTTTCTTGCAGAGAGTGATGAAACCAAAGACAACTTTCAATGTTATGGGTATACTTAGTTTAAAAAACAACAACAAACCACTTTGTGCATGGACGTGTATGACTTTTTAGAGATAATTGGGTCCTGATATAAGCCAACTTGGCCAGGGCAAAGCAGACCCCACCCAGGCAGTCACCAACTCAGACATGTCTTCAGAACCAAAACTGATCTAAAGCACTCTGGTTATATGAGTAGAAGAATATAATATAACCTCATCTTGGTACTCATTAACACTAGCCAAGTTCAACAACTTTTCTAATCAGAGCATTAAGTTCAAGACATATAAAACTCCCCCAAGTCCTGAGGTTCATCCATGTCTAAAGGTTCACAACCTAACATCACTGGAAGTTAACCAAGTGGTTCAAGCTTTTTCTTTAAAAAAAATTTTTTTAGTATAAAAGATATCCACTTAGGAAGTGGTGCTGTGGCTCAAGCAGTAGAGTGCTTGCCTTGAGCTGAAGAGCTGAGAGACAGTGCCCAGGCCCGGAGTTCAAGCCCCACGACTGACCAAAAAAAAAAATTTTTTTTAAATCCCACTTAGGTACTGATGGCTCACACCTGTAATCCTAGCTACTCAAGAAGCTGAGATCTGGGATCATAGTTCAAAGCCAGCAAGCAGGAAAGTCCATGCGACTCTTATCTCCAATTAACCAGCAATAAGTCAGAAGGGAGATATAGCTTGAGTGGTAGAGCATTGACTTTGAGGGAAGAGTGTTCAGGCTCTGAGTTCAAGCCTCAATACTAGCACAAAAATGAATGAATGAATGAATGAAATAATAAAAATACTCTCCCTCCCATATCTATATCTACAGATATAGATATATGTGTGTATGTGTGTACATGTAGGGGCTGGGAATGTGGCTTAGTGGTAGAGTACTTGCCTAGTGTGCATGAGGCCCTGGGTTTGATTCCTCAGAACCACATAAACAGAAACAAAGAGACCAAATACAATTCTCACAAATAGAAATTATATGATTACCTTAGTAAAAAAATCCAAAATGAAAATTGAAAATAAACTATTAAAATGTGTATGTATGTGTGTGTGTGTGTGTGTGTGTGTGTGTGTGTGTGTGTAGTATACAGTAGTATGTAATGAGTGCATAGAAAGGACATCTTTAGAAATATTTGGTTGCAAGCCAAGCATCAGTGGCTCAGGCTAGCTACTCTGGAGGCTGAGATCTAAGGACCATAGTTCAAAACTAGCTCAGACAGAAAATTTCATGAGACTCTTATCTCCAATTAAATACCAAAAAACCCAGAAGTGAAACTGTGGCTCAAATGATAGAGCACTAGTGCCCCACCAGGGTTGGTTGGTTTGTTTATTTTGGTGGGGGGGAGGGCTTGAACAATTCCTGGGAGCTGTCCCTGAGCCCTTTCACTAAAGGCGAGTGCTCTACCACCTGGAGCCACAGTGTCACTCCAGTTTTCCGGTGGTTTATTGGAGATAAGAGTCTCAGGCCTTTCCTGCCCGGGCTGGCTTTGAACTGCGATCCTCAGATCTCAGCCTCCTGAGTAACTAGGTTTACATAGGTATGCGCCACTAGCACCTGGCTGTTAGTTCGGGTTTTTTTGTTTTGCTTTGTTTTAATGTACCTTTGTCTGTCTAGCTTCTATGAATTTAACTTCTATTTACTTTAGGCTTTTACTACAGCTCCTCTGATCTATATTATGTCTCTAGTTTCTGGGAAACTTTCCGCTGAGAGTCAACTCCATGTGCTTCTGACCTTTTTTCAAACTGGACATTGGGAATTGTTTGAAAGTTGTAAAAAAAAACTTTCAAATTGACACTTTGATATGTACTTGCATTAAAGGACATAACAGAATTTTTCTCTCTAAATTAAAAGAAATCTCTAGCGCCGGTGGCTCATGCCTGTAATCCTTGCTGAGATCTGAGGATCACATTTGAAGCCAGTCTAGGCAGAAAAGATCCTGAGATTCTTATCTCCAATTAACCAGCTGGGAGTAGAGGTGTGGCTCAAGTGGCAGAGCATCAGCCTTGATCAAGAAAGTGAAGCAAGAACGTGAAATCCTGAGTTCAAGCCCCAGTATCAAAAAAGGAGAAGTCATATATTAATATGTGTTAAGAAAGAGGTAAGAAGAAAAAAAGAACAAGGAGGAAGAAGGAAAGGGAAGAGAGTTGGGGGAAGAGAGGTGAGAAACATGGTGAGGAGAAGAATAAGAAGGAGGCAGAGGTAAAAGAGGAACAATGGAGGAGGGGATGGAATTTACTTGGTAAGAGATGAAATGTCAAACACACTGGTTACAAGCCAGGCACTTAAGTAGCCTCACATGAGACCTATTTACCAGTCCTAATCAATCCTAATCAGTCATAGACCTGTCCTCATATAGCTTGAGTAGCTTAAAACAGAACCTTTCCATATGGACTATACTGTATACCTAACTGAAAAATATTACTCTTGTGATTATGTCCATTTGTTTAGCCAAGAGCAAAAGTTCTTAGTTTTGTTCACTTTCTACTGGTCAATATATATATGCCTAAGTTTACAAAAATAAAGAACAGATGAGAACCAAGTGAATATATACCAAATATACATACAAAGGAAGTTCTTTGGGTGGTTAAAACAATAGATGAGAGTTAATAGATACATTTAAAAAGTAAAAAGGAATGTATATTCCACATTTTCCTATAAGAATGAGAAAGTAATGAGAAGATTTATGAACCTGGAGCTCATCACTGGAGCTCAAATAACAAAAGAAGTAACTAAAGGAAAGCATACTTCTTTAAACCTCTATGAATTTTACAATCAGGAATGTTTAAATAAAGACAAAAAAAGACTTAGTATGTTTGTGATCATAGCCACATTTTAAAAAAAGATCATGCAAAAACCAACTGGCTGCCAATTTTTTAAAATCTTTAAAATAAGATGTACCACAATTAGTGTACATGAACAATTAGTAACTCATGCAGCTGTAGAGTACACAAAAAGCTAAACATACTTACCTACGGGTACGCTATCTAGATCTGTATAAATCACAGCAAAAAAGGAAACAAAAAGCAATACTCCAATCAAAACAGATCCAATGTTAAGAACTCACATAAAACAAGATTATGTACCATTTATAAGGTAGGTAGAATAGATGCCATAGCAAACACTTATAAATTAATTTTTAGGGAAGTTAGTGATACAGAATAAAGTCATGAAACCCAGTTAATCTTCTAAGTAATATAAACAACCAATTCAGAAATTTTGTTGGTCTTTTTTTTCCCCAAAAAATGAACTGCTTAATGAGACTAGGTAATAAGCATTTTCAAGTTGGAAATCACTTCTTGGAATAACAATACTCCCCCCAAAAAATTTATATAGACATGCAAATTAAAGAAAGAATAATTGTTAAAAAGCATAAGTATAGCATCTATTCAGATAAGCCATAGAGGAAGGATATAATATAGCATATTTGAAGAGTAAAGCTACCGTGCAACTCAGTAAATTAAAATTTAGCCCAAATTACCTTGTAAAGCATGGCCAAGTAAAGCATCTAACTCAGGATTTAATTCTGCTTTTTCTTTTAGCATGTGGAATAAGAGCTGGTTTTGGGTGGCACTGGTTATTTCAGTTTGTTTGAGTCGACCTTCAAGTACTTTAATTTGAGCCTCTTTCTGAGCAGCCTGAAGACCCTATGAAAAAACCACCAGGACAAATTAAGTCACACAAAACATAAATCTCCCAGGTGCAGATCTATGCCAAACAGCAAATGCATAGATATATGACTTTGACATCAAATAGATTTTGATTGGTGCCATTTTCTCTACCTACTAGCTTAGTGATCTTGGAGAAGTTCATCTGTCCAAGATACTATCCTTCTAATCTTCAGTTTCCTTGTATATAAAATGATATGAATAAACTGGACGCTGGTGTCTCATGCCTATAATCTAGCTACTCAGGAGGTTGATCTGAGGATCAGGTTCAAAGCTAAGATAAGAGAGATAAGAGTCTCATAGACTCAATTAACCACCAGAAAACCGAAAGTGGCTCTGTGGCTCAAGTGGTAGAGAGCTAAAGAGTTCATGGACAGCGCCCAGGCCCAGAGTTCAAGCCCCACAACTGACCAAAAAAAAAAAAAAAGATATGAATAAATTTCTACTTTCTGGCACATTGTGAATATTAAATGAGAAAACATAACATAAAGAGTTTAACACAGTCCCAGTGTGAGAAACAACAAAGTCAGTGGTCTTTATTGCCTTCAATATTTGGGTAGAAGTTCCTTACTGGTGACAGATTTTGCATTTACATTCCATAGATCAAAGCTAGAGATGTGGTTGAATAGCAGAGTACCTGCCCAGCAAGCACAAGACCCCAGTACTGCCAAAAGATGAGGTTGGTATAATTGTTATTTTTCCTGATTCTTTTTTAGACTATAAAAGATCAGTATCGTCGGTTACAATACCAAACTTCACTCTGAGGATATTTTCCCTAGTTAAAGCAAAACATGAGCCAGGCACCGGTGGCTCATGACTTATTCCTAGCTACTGAGGAGGCTGAGATTTGAAGATCATGGTTTGAAGCCAGTCCAAGCAGGAAAGTCCTTAAGATGTGAGTATGGGGTTTGGGGTTAGGAGTGGGTATATATCACAGTCATGTGGCTTGACCTCAGAACCTAAGTGCTGTCCCTGAGCTTTTTTTTTTTTTTTTTGCTGGTCCTGGGACTTGAACTCAGGGTCTGGGTGCTGTCCCTGAGCCTCTTTGTGCTCAATGCTTTAGTACTTCACCACAGTGCCACTTCTGGCTTTTTCTAAGTAGCTTATTGATGATAAGAGTCTCACAGGCTTTTCTACCTGGACTGGCTTCAAACTCAATCCTTAGATCTCAGCCTCCTGAGTAGCTAGGATTACAGATGTGAGGCACCGGTGCCCAGATCTGTCCCTGAGCTTTTCTGCTCAAAGTTAGCACTCTACCACTTGAGCTACAGCTCCGACTTTTTTTTTTTTAATTAATTAGAGATATAAACTTTCCTTCCCTGGCTGGCTTAGGATTACGATCCTCAGATCTTAGCCTCCTGAGTAGCTAGGATTACAGGGATGAAACACAAACTATACCGATAGTCATTGAGACTCTTATTTCCAATTAACAAAAAAAGAGCTGAAAGTGGAGGTATGGCAAAAGTGGTAGAAGGCCAGCCTTGAGCAGCAAAAGCTAAAGGATCAGAGCCAAGGTTGAATTCAAGCCCCACTACTGGCATACCCCTGCTCCCCAAAAAGGCACAACAGAAATTTTCTTCTTTTGATACAATAAGCATAACATTTATCAGTGACCTCTTAACTCTAAAGAAAGATTTAAAATTTTTCTTTCAATCAATTACCTTATTCCTATTACCAAGAGAAGTGTGACTGAAGAGAAGAAACAAGACAGAACTACAGTGAATTGGTCAAAACTTAGGTTTCTCAGGAGCAAGATGGGTAAATCTTACCTTGTTGATGCCCATTGACAGGAAGTGATCCAGCAGGTATCTGGCTTCCGTAAGTGTGCAAGCATTAATGACTGCGGTCACATCTAATGTCTCACCTTCCTCCTACATCAAACCAGAGCATAATGGTCATGAATTTAGACTGGATATATTTAAACAGGAAGCAAAGGTCTATTGTATTTGATAGCTTTGGATTGGTCAAGAGGCTGCACAGAAAAGTATAATGCATGATCTCTGTACCAAGAAACATCTGGTCTAGCTGAAAAGACATATTTGAAGCTATTAAGAATTCAAAGCAGAACAAGGCACTGGTGGCTCATGCCTGTAATCCTAGTTATTCAGGTGAGAGTGACATGTAAGGATCACAGTTCAAAGCCAACTTGGACAGAAAAGTCCATGAGACTATTTCCAATTAACCACCAAAAAGTCAGAAGTAGAGCTGTAGCTCAAGTGGTAGAGAACCAGCCTTGAGCAGAAAAGCTAAGGGACAATGCATGCCCAGACCCCTGAGGTCAAGCCCCAATACTGGCAAACAGAAAAAGATAAATGATAGCCATTAAACATCTTTTACATTACAAACCTTTGCTTCTTCCATTTGCATGATGTTGGCTTGACAGTCAGAAATGCTGTCATTGATGTAATCTATGTTAGCAGTTAGTGACTCCACCTCCTCGTTGATGTTAACCACATTTTTATCTCCTTCTCCATTCTCCTTGATGATCTTCTCTCTTCTTTTAGATAGTTTCTCTCGTCTTTTGGTGAGTTCTTCCCTTTGCTATTTAAAGACAAAAGTTGGATTTGAATAAAATGATATTCATCTACTCATGCCCAAGCACAATCAAAACTAAAACAAGCCAGGTACCAATGGCCCACCTGTAATCCTAGCTACTCAGGAGCCTGAGATCCTGGTGCCCAGAATTCTAACATCTGAGTCTCCTGAGTAGCTAGGGTTATAGGGCAAGAAAGGACCACTTCTGGCTTTTTATGTCTGATTAACCACCAAAAAGCCAGACGTGGGACTGTAGCTCCAGTAGTAGGTGCCAACCTTGAGTGGCAAAGCTGAGTTCAAGCCCCATTACCAGAATGAAGAAAGAAAAGGCCCAAACGACAACATGTTAAACATTAAAATGAGTACAGTTGAGAGTTGGTGAAAGCAAGCACATGAAGCGTCTAGTTCCACACCTTAAGAAGTCTGTTCATATCGGACTCCATGTTGGAAATGGTCATTTTCTGCATGATAATGTCGGTAACCCTGCGTTCCAGCAGCTGCCACTTCATCCGGGCTGTCTTGGAAGTGAACACTCGGCCAGTCAATCCTTTCCTCTGATATTTTTTTCTACAATCATTTTTTTAAATGGACAAATATAATTACTTATATACTTACTGTGTCCCACCCCAAAGCAAGACTGATTTCATTTATGTACCACATTCAATATGAATGCTTTTAAGGATTGCGTATCAAGAGAATAGAAAGAGTCATAAGAACCTGGTTCCATTTGTGGTGGGTGTTGGTAAGGCCTGCACCCTTGCCACGGGAATTTTCATTTTCTGCTGGGCACCTGCCCTTGATGCATCCACATCAACGGCAGCTGTACTCGAACCAACGTCCTGAGCAGGGGCATCAGAGGAGCTCAGCTTCCGAGTAACCTTTCCAGCAACTTTATCAGACATGGGCCTTACTTGCCGACGAAGAGCTGTCACCTGAAATGACAACAGAGATTGATGCACCCTCTCAATCTATAGGAACCCATCATCGATCTCAAAGTTGGGATGTAGTCTCCAAATGATCAACTAGCTCACTGCACCTCTTCAGTTTTGCGACGAAGAACCACTTCCTGGTTTCTCTTTTGGGCTTCCAGAAGTCTAAGTTGATGCTGTAAAATAAAATTGAGCAAACTGAAATCAGAAATTGAAATATACAATATTTCCTGTTCATTTGCTCAATGTATTTCTCCAAATTCTTGGAAACTGTAAGAGTTAAAAGAATTTTGTATCCATTTCTATAGATACAGTTTATCATAACAAACACATACTGATACAGAAACCCCTGTCTTAAAAGTGAAGTTATCTATGTGCCACATATATTTATTTAACAAACATTAGAGTGCTTACTAGGCAGGTCCTTTTCTAAATCCTTTAAATATGTCTCTTTAACAGGCACACGTGCATGTGCGCACGCGCACGTGCACGCATATGTGTGTGTGTGTGTGTGTGTGAGTGAGAGTACTGGGGCTTGAACTCAGGGCTTGGATATTGTCCCTTATTTCTACTTTTCAAGGCTGGTACTTTATGAACTGAGCCTCACCTCTACCTCTGGCTTTTTGGTGACTCAAGACTCAAGTGATAGCCAGCCTTGAGTGGAAAGCTAAAGGACAGTGCCCAGAGCCTGAGTTCAAGCCTCAGTACTGACACAAAAAAGCAAAAGTCTTACTGAAATAGAACTCTCAAAATGTGTCATATAGTGAGGACTGGTTACTATGCAAGAAGAATTTATAGCAATCCCTAGAAACACCCTGAACTTACCTCGGATATCATATTGAAACATTAACCATTTATTACTATCTCATCACCTAAGAAATACACCACAAATAAAGTTTATAGTAATTGGTCTTTTTTTTTTGGGGGGGGGGTCTGGTCGTGGGGTCTGAACTCTGGGCCTGGGCGCTGTCCCTCAGCTCTTCAGCTCAAGGCTAACACTCTACCACTTGAGCCACAGCGCCACTTCCAGCTTTTTTTCTGCTTATGTGGTGCTGAGGAATCAAACCCAGGGCCTCATACATGCGAGGCAAGCACTCTACCACTGAGCCAACTTCCCAGCCCCAGTAATTGGTTTTTTCATAAACTTTTACATTAAATTACTATAATCTGCATACTATAGCAAATATCCTTTCATAAAAATCAGTGCTTACTTACTGCCCTGAACCTGCAATAATTATAATGAGAGATGTTTCTTCTATTGATTACAGTTTTGTTCCATGCATAATATTCTTACATAATGAAGAGTAAAATCTACTCACATCTCTTTTACGCTGATCCTTCTTCAACTGAGCAATTTCTCTGTTTCTTCTAGACTCTGTCAGCCTGGCTTTCTCTTGTTCTTCCTTCATTTGTTTCATGAGACGAACCTAAAATTAGGTATATACATTTATTTACTCCATTATTAAATTCATTAAAGAAACCATGGGATGGAAGCAAATTCTTAGAATTCTAAATACTGATCATGGAAATATGGACTTGCATTACATACTGCAAATAGTAAATTCTTACTTTTTCAGGGTTAATACATTTACATTTCTAACAAATTATTTAGTACTTTATTCTTTGCATACTCAACATTCAGTTGATTTGATTAAAATGGAATTTGGTACTCATTACCAGTAGCTGTGTTGAACAAGTTGCTTTACCTCTTCAGGTTAAGCTTTCAGGGCCAGGGTGTTATCCCTGAGCTTTTTTGCTTAGGCTACCACTTGAGCCTCCACTCTACTTGCAGCTTTTGGAAGTTTACTGGTGATAAGAGTATCAGGTACTTTCCTGCCTGGTCTGGCTTCAAACTGTGATCTTCAGCCTCCTGAGTGGCAGAGATTACAGAAGTGAGCTACCACTTCCCAGCTCAACCACAATATTTTTTTCTGTTGTAGGAATTCAATGACATTACAACCTGATCATGCTTACCTAAAACAGAGTCTGATATACAGTAAGCACTAAATTATTTTCAACTATTGTTGGTGTTATCAGAGATAATACAAGATAATCATTTAATCACTCCTCCATCATTTCCATGACAGCTATTGTGTGTGTGTGTGTGTGTGTGCGCAAGTGTGTGTTGGTACTGCAGCTTAAATTCAAGGCTTCATATTTACTGCTTGGCTTTTTCACTCAAAGTCAGTACTCTACCATTTGAGTCACACCTCCACTTCCGTATTTTGGTGGTTAAAGAGATTTTGGAGATATCCCACAGATTTCTCTGCCCAGGCTGGTTTTGGATCTTGATCCTCAGATCTCAGTCACCTAAGTAGCTAGGATTACAGGTGTGAGCCACAAGTACTTGACTTTGCCAGCTATTTAAATGTTTAGATTTTTACATTAACCCCACAAGAAAAACACCAATACAATCATCACATACTCTTTGGTTAAGAAAAGAAAACTTGCACTTTTCCATGAATGGGAAAGTTAAATAATAAATTTAAGGTAGCTGCTACCTCTTGAGAAATGGGAAAAATGACTAGGAAAACATATATAAAAGGCTCAGTGTCCAACTGTTTTAATTTTTTTTTTTTTTTGCCACCCGGGGGCTTGAACTCAGGCACCATCCCTGAGCTTATTTTGCTCAAGGCATAGCACCACTTCTGGCTTTTTCTGTGTATGTGGTACTGAGGAATTGAACCCAGGGCTTCAGGCATGCTAGGCAATCACTCTACCACTAAGCCACCTTCCTAGCCCGTTTTAATATCTGAAAGTACACCATCAACATAGTGTTGTTTTTTTATTCAAGTTTTTTGCATGTATGATTATTTTTTATCCTTGTTAGCCTTGTAGAAGAGATTTAATACGAGAAATATCCATAAACGTACTTGTGCATATGTGTGTGTGTACATGCATGCATGCATGTGTGTGAGGGCCTGGCCTTGAATTTAGGGCCTGGGTGCTGTCCCTTAGCTTTTTTGCTCAAGCCTGACACTCTACCACTTGAGTCATGCCTCCATTATTGGCTTTTTACTTGTTAATCAGAGTAAGAGTCTCACTGGTTTGTCTGCGTAAACTGGCTTTAAAGCATGACCCTCAGATCTGTCTTCTGAGTAGCTAGGGTTATAGGCATGAGCCACCACTGGCAGGCTAGAAGTGCTTTATGCACATGGTTTTGAGCTTACTCAAGGAAGACTTTGATGAGAATGCCTATTGGATGAGAACTTCTAACAGTCACAGGAAAGTACACCCTTTGTAGTTCTGGGTTGTTACTGAATAGGGAAATAATATGGCATAAAGCATCATCAACATTAAGCCAAATCAATACCTTTGTCTTTTTCATCTCCATCACATCCTGCTGCAATTTCTTCAGCTGTTTTTCATACTGAGACTGATTTTTAAGCAACCTTGCATGTTCTTTTTGAGCTGTTTGAAGTCTCTGCAACTCTTTATTCATGGCTTGCAGTTTCTTTTCATATTCAGACTTGACTTTCTTTGCCTTCTCTTCTGAGTAAGATTCCACAGAACCTAGATGAACCAAAGGATATTTACATTTGATTTTGTGAGACATAGATTTTTTACATCACATTACACAACTTAGAACACTGAAGAAGAAAGCACTTATACTTCAACAATTATTAAAGTTTTTACTTAACAATATACTAAGTATAAAGCAAACTAGTACATTTTGAATATAATAATGAAATAGTCTAGGAAGATAGCAGTATCTAAAATAAATAACAATATTTAACATGTAATATTAACATGTCTTATTTAGCCAAAAAATAGTCAAAATCATATATAATTTTTCAATGAAAAGCAGGAACTAACTTACAAAGAAACAATACCATTTGATGACTGAGTTTGAACTTTAATCTACATTAAAAAATAATTCTTGCTGGGTTCTCTAGCTTAATGCTTACAATTCTAGCTACTCAGGATGCTGAAATCTGAGGATCACAGTTTGAATCCAGCTTCATCCACAAAATTCTGTGAGACACTTTATCTCCAATTAAACAGCAGAGAGGCTGGAAATGAAGGTATGGCTCAAGTGGTAGAGTGTCAACTTTGACCAAAAAAAAAAAAAAAAGCCAAGTGAAAGAGGTCCTGAGTTCAAGCTCCAGTACTGGCACCAAAAAAAGAAAAAGACAAAGAAATCTTACCCAAATTTTGGAGCACCTGATCTCTTTCCAGCTGAGTATCCCGAATTTTATGTTGCAGCATCATTAGTTTCTCTTCGTATTGCCTCTTCAGTGTCTGCAACCTTTTCTGGCTGTTTTCCAGTTCATCAATTAGCTTTTGTTTAATTGCAATTTCACAAGTGATATTTGCTAAGTCAGCTTGATAGTTGGCTATTTATAAGAGAAATAAGGAAAAAAACAAATGGGGGTAAGGCCAAAATGTCATTAATTCTACCTATCAAACAAGTGTGTAAAAGCATCATCTCTACTGGGTATTCACTTTGTACCTAGTGGGGAAATTCTCTGGATAAATGAGAATCTAAAAAGACAAACAAAGAAATGTTCCCATTGGTCAGGACAACAGATACTATTTGTACTAAAGAATGGAAATCACAGTATGCTTAAATCCTGTTAGGAAAGGAAGACCTCACTGGCTTCAGCACCTGAGTCTCCTTGAAGGGTTTATGTAGGTCAGTGGTCACAAAAGCTGCTTTCAATAAGGATGAAACAGAGAATGTTAAGGGACTTTCATTTAGGTTTTAAATAACTCCTCAAAATGACTTTCAGCCTTGCTACTGAGGGTTTTAAGTACCTTTTTCATCTGATTCAGAATCTGATTCATCAGAGCTTTCACCCCCTTCAATGTCATCCTCTTCCTCTTCCTCCTCCTCTTCCTCATCCTCATGATCACTCACTTCTTGACTCTCTTCCTGAAACGGAATTTGTGACAATTTGGCAAAGCAAACTGACTGCCTCAGTGAGAGAAATACTAGAGTAGAAAGCATAGTAGCATACCAAAAAAATAACTTTTAATTAGTTCAAACATTATGCCTAGATTTGAAGAGTATTATATAATAATTGTGTCTGTGTATGTATATATGTATGCTAATATTGGGACTTGAACTCAGGGCCTCTGACTGTTGTTTGGCTTTTTTTTTTTTTTTTTTTTTTTTTGTCGGTCATGGGACTTGAACTCTGGGCCTGGGCGCTGTCCCTCAGCTCTTCAGCTCAAGGCGAGCACTCTACCACTTGAGCTACAGCGCCACTTCCGGTTTTCTGGTGGTTTATTGGAGATAAGAGTCTCAGGGTCTCTCCTGCCCGGGCTGGCTTTGAACCGCGATCCTCAGATCTCAGCCTCCTGAGTAGCTAGGATTACAGGCGTGAGCCACCAGCGCCCGGCTGTTGTTTGGCTTTTTTGCTAAAGGCTGATGCTCAATCACTTGAGCTACACCTCTACTTTTTATTGGTTAACTGGAGATAAGTCTTACAGACTGGTCTATCTGGGCAGATTTTAGACCATGAGCCTCAAATCTCAGATTTCTGAGTAACTAGAATATCAATACCCAGCTTGGTAACTGTGTCATGAATGAGAGAGTATTTCATCTCTCATCGGATTCTATCTCTACACTCACAAGATGCTTACAGGATACATGTTATCTTATTAGCACATCTGTTATCCTAACTACTCAGGAGGCTGAGACCTGAGGATCCCAGTTCAAAGCCAGCCCAAGCAGGAAGAAGTTTATAAGACTTTTTATCTTCAATTAACCACCAAAAAGCCAGAAGTGGAGCTGTGGTTCAAGTAGTAGAGAACTAGCCTTCAGCAAAAAAGCTAAGGGACAAAGCCTAGGCTCTGAGTTCAAATCCTAGTACCAGCACACAGAAATATATATGTATCAGAGACTTATCAAGACTTTATAGTTTATGCTGCTGGAGAGAAGAAGTCCTCAAGGAAATAGTATTCTTCTACATGTAACTTAGTGCACTCATTAGCAACCAAGAACAAATGAATTTAGTGTCTAAAGTCCACAAGTTCATTCCACTACACTTACCACTTCAAACTCATTTTCTCTTTCTGAAATACCCTTTTCTTCTTTCTTCTCCTGGTCAGTGTCTGCATTATCATCTTTTCCAGACACACTAAAAATAAGTAAATGAAGGAAGGAAGATAAATGTACAGTGTTACAATGCAAAGGAAAATTGTTCACTTTATTTTTTTTACCAGATCTTCTTTAAAAATGTAAATCATTTATAAAAAAGAAACAAAGAAGTTGTAACTTGACTAAGAGAAATTATGCTGTCTAATGCTTCAGAGAAAAATACAAGTCACTACTCATTCAATAATATCATCATTTACAACAGTAAAAAAAAAGCTTATTTTCTAGAAATACTAAGTTAAGAACTGGTCACTCCAATAGCCAATTAACTACAATACAAGAAATGAAAAACATTTTAGTTTCACGCCTAAAACAAAAACTTTCATCAAATAAAGCTGTAAACTACATTTTTATTAATGTCTGAATAAATGTAAAGATTTGGAAGTAATTCTACCTAAAATGACTATAGACTGTGCCTCAGTGTTCAGCTATTTTCTGAGGCCATACATGTAGTATTGGCTTTTTTCTTGTTATGTTCTCACAGAGGAAGTGACCCATTCCACACCAAAACTGCCTGACATAATTCTCTGATAAAAGAGGAAATTCCAGGGTCTGCCACAGATTCACCACGTCTAATACCTATAGCCATAATTACATGCTAGCATCAGATCAGGTTTCTAGTTAAAATAATTCAGCCTTGATGGTCATGACAGGAAGGCAGTAGACCACACTAAATAAAGTTTTTGCCTATCCAAACTATTTGGAGACTTAGCAACCATAATCAACTATGCAGAGAGACTACACTTCTGTTCACTACACGTCAACATTCATCAAGTGTGAACACTCAACACATTTAGATGTTTCTGTGCTATCATAACATTTTTAAATCTTTAAGGATAAAAATAATACTCAAGTAAGGCAGTATTTTCCAAATAAAATTCCTCTAGAAAGAGTTATAAAACTTAATCAGAATTTCCTTTCCAAATTGAGAAGAAAGGTAGAGGCAAGATCACCAATAAATGCCATGACAAACATCAAGTACATTGTACTGGATTTCATTATATTAGAGAAAAATGAACTTGAAAAAACTAGGAACCCTTCAGAAAGACCCTCTAAGCCTAGAAGTGGGGGCTATACCTGTAATCCTACCTACTTAAGAGCTTAAGATCTGAGGAAAAGATCACAGTTTGAAGCCAGCCAGTCTCAGGAGAAGTCTATGAAACTCTTATCCCCAATTCACTACCAAAAATCCAGATGTGAAGCTGTAACTCGAAGAGTAGGAAGAGCACCAGCCTTGAGCAAAATAGCTAAGGGACAGCACCTAGGTACTGACTTCAAGCCTCAGTACCAGTGTGCACATGTGTGTGTGCATGTGCATGCACATGCACAAGCATGCACACACACATACACACACGCACACAAACACACCCATACAGCTAAGAATTTTTCTTGCCATACAATAAAACTAGCCAAACAGCTGTACTGGAGGCTTAGGCCCAAGGTTTAGGGCTAAAAAAGAAGAATTTACCAAAAGGGTATCTCCCTGTTCCTTCCCCTTCTTCCCCTGAGATTGCTACAGCATAGAATTTTCAGTGTTGGTTCCTTCATTACTTCAGATTCCATCTTTTATTTCCTTTTATTCACATATAGACAACACAACAAATTTATTCTGAACACTGGACTCAACACATCCTCCTGCACCCTACAATCACAACATCCACAATACCTTTCAGTTGTACATTAAGTATCACATAAATTGCCCAGGCTACTCTGTTTGTAGAAAAATCATCACTTATAGCTTTCCATGGTTCATTCACCTGTAGAAATCACTTGCAAGGCTTAAGCTTTTTAACAAGAAAATTGGTATTTATCATTATTGTACCTCAAATATTCAAGTTTTCCTTGATAATCTGAGGCAAATGGATGTTTAAAACATCCATCTAAGCAGCATTGGAAGATATTCAAATCTGTACTTTATCTAAAGTCAGAATTTTGGGAGCCAGAGGAATATTAGAAATTAATGCTTTCATTAGACAAATACAAAAGAAACTGTGGCCTGGGGAAGTTTATCTACTCAAGGGAACTAAAGCTACGTATCCTGATTCCTAGGACAGCCTTCCAGAATGAGTTTTCTAGAATTTTCTAGATACTTAAAATTCAGCTCGCAGACCTTAAAGTATCCCTAAGAATTTCTATACAAGCAAATTATCAGGTTCCAACTCAGACCTACTGAATTAGAGTTTTCATTTTTCCAGAATCCCCAGAGATATGGTTATGTACATCTGTGATTGGAAAGTGTTGTTCTAGAACACTCTGCTTTTGTTACCCTCCACTGATCACATAAAAACTGGAAGCAACCTCTACTTAATTTTATTTAAAGAACTTGTATATTTTAAGGTGGTCAAAATGCTTCCACTCACAACTTCAATGATGTATCTTAGTTTGACATTCCCAAATAGAAGAAATGTCACAATTGTCATGCTTAAGTTCAATCTGTAACAACTATATTATCCTAAACATATAATAATTAGATATATTCTAGTGTAATCTGCAGACATTAGGAATTATATTCCAGGCATAAGGTACTCTTGACAAGTTATAGATTTATAGAAATATATGTTCAGTAATGTTAGCAAACTCTATAATATAGAATATAATTATAGGATGTATATACTAAACTTATTAAAGATTTAAGCTATTTAAAGCCAGTCCTTTAAGACACAGGAAAAGTTTTCCAGTCCTTATTTTATGTAAGAGATGAATTTCTAAAGTAGTGCTTCTAAAATATTTACATATTTGTTTGAAACTATTTTCTTGATCAATTTTTTTCATTTTTTCTGAGGTTTGAACTCAGAGCCTGGGCTCTGTCCCTTGACTTTTTCACTCAATGCTTGCACTCTACTATTTGAGCCATACCTCTACTTCAGGTTTTGGTGGTTCACTGGAGATACGAGTCTCATGGTTTTTCCTGCCTAGGCTGGCTTTGAACCAAACTACGATCCTCAGATATCATCTTCCTAAGTAGCCAGGTTTATAGGCATGAGCCACCAGCCCTTGGCTTCTTAATCAATTTAGCTACCTAAGTTGGAGAACTGGTTTTAATATATGTATGTATGTATATATGTATATACATACATATATATACATATATATATGAAGAAGAGTTCTAATTAAAATACTACTTGATCTTTATTTGAATTGTCATAATTCTGAATCAATGACATGCAAGTGTTCATTATCTAGAGTTCAGAAATGTGCTTCTAAATATTTCTTAAATTTCAAATGGAAGAAAGGAGACTGTCATGATTTTGATGCTCACTTAAAATATATTTTAAAAGCAAAAATCACTTTACTAGTTAAACTTCAAGAATGCCTGGTAACTTGTGGGTAAGGACTGGACAGAAAAACTGGGAGAAAGGAAGGGAAGGGGTAACATTATCTAAAAGAAATGTACTCTTTAACTGACTTACATAACTAACTCCTCTGTACATCACTTTTATAATAACAATAAAAAGAAAAAGATTAAATTTTAAAAAAAGGATGCTTGGTAAATTGTATCTAAAGTAAGGCCACAGTTTCCTTTTGCTTTGTTGCTGTTTTAATGTTGCTTTCCAGATAGGATTGCACCAGATAAAGAGAATAGAGAAGCCCATCTGTAGTTAGTATAAATTCCCACCTAAATTAATAATTCCCATTCTGCTCACAAGTTTCTGAAAGATACAGAATTAGTGATTTTTTTAAATAAATCAAATAGCAAGAGTTTGTTTGGTCATTGTTATATTTTGGTCATTGTTATACTATCATATTTTGGTCATTGTTATACTATCACTATGGTAGATCACTCTGAAACAAAATGAAAATACTTGAAATTAATTCAAGGAGTTAGTAAGGGTTTTTATATTTAACTTAGAAAGTACTTTTTAAAATGTTGGTATTTTGTTATTTTGATAAAAAAAATCATCATTTTTATGAGTATACAAGCTAATCTAGAGTGATGCAATCTATAATTCTGTAACACATTCTTGTACAGGGTAACTAAATATTTCAATGACATTTTAATTTTTAAAAAAAACCTGGGAAATATTCCAACCTTCTTTCTTCTCGATTGCTTTCCTCAAGTTTCTGTAGCCTTCAAAATCACGAGGCACAGTATTGGAAGGCCAAGCCAATGAAGGACAAAACCAGACAGTAAAAAGCGAAAGTGGTAAGAAGGTAAAAATGATACATGAGCTTGCAGACTTTAAAATAAATTGTAAAAGATATCATCAAAGGACAATAAGCAGTAAAAAGGCAGTACATTTTGCATGAATAAAAAGTAAGCAGAAAATCAGGTAGTATTATATCTGAGAAGAGTACATAGACTACCCAAGGAAATGATTTAATAGTAAAGTATATTTATATAAGTTGAGAAGCAGTAAGTATGTTTGGATGCCACGTTTTGGGGTTTTTTTTTTTTAGTCTGAAGTAGATCAATTCTCTTAATTTTTCCCCAGAAAGAAAGCTTGTTTTTAACAATATACTCTTCCTTTTAAATCTTTACCAAAGACTTTTTATGGCATCATTCAAAGGATTATACAAAGTAATGCCTTTATACCATCATATGAAAATATTCATACTACATACATTCTACTTACTACTTTTTAAAAACTTGTTTTTGGTTTAATATACTACATGTGAACATCACTAATTCTTAGCAAAAAAATAAGTCCTATATCAAAATAATACACGAAATGATATTACAGGCAAATGAATATGGGTGTTATGCTAACAGTGAAAAATATAATTTATAAACTGAAAAATAATATCTAATAGTATCAATTAACAAGTTTACTATGCTAATTATTATGTAGAAACTATTAAAAGGCCCTAAGTAAGGCAAACATGGAAATAAAATAGGACATGTAGTACTTTCCATTAGTAAGACTGTTTTTAGCATGAACACTAAAGAAAAATAATCTGCCAGCAGAGGCTTGTTAATAGAATTTATAGAAGACACAATCTTGGAGTATCTTTACTAAGCGGATTGAACTGTATACCAACATTTGTCATGTTGACCAAAAATAGATGAGCTAAACTCTTTAAACAGATAGCAATATGCCCAGAATTCCATTTTTGCCTGAAATTACAAAAATGCTTTTTTGAATCATCAATTTTAAAAAACGAAGAGATGGAGCCTGAGGTATAAATTATTTCATTAAGCCAGTTTTCTCATTTTAAGTGCGTGTGTGCGTGTGTGTGTGTGTGTGTGTGTGTGTATTTGTGTGTCTATCTGTCTGTCTGTCTGTTCCCAGTACTGAGGCTTAAACTCAGGGCCTTTTATTTTTGCTTAGCTTTTTCCCTCAAGGTTGAGGCTCTACCAATTGAGGTAAACCTCCACTTCTGGCTCTTGCTGGTTAGAGATAAAAGTCTCATGGACTTGTCTGCCTTTGCTGGCTTCAAACCAGGATCCTCAAATCTCAGCCTCCTGAGTAACCAGAATTACAGGTATAAACTACAGCACTTAACTTTCATTTTAATTTTTTAATATATGCTTTTATGTGACTTGTAGTCTGTGATTGGTCTTCCTAGTCAATTTATATACTGCAGTTATGACACTAGTAATCTTTCTGATTTAAAAAAATGGCTATATACTGATACTGGCCTGGGATGACATGGTTGAGTATTGTGACTAGAAACAGGAAGGTCAAACCAATATTTAAAGAATCTGGGCTACTAAAGTTTCAGCTCAACACTACTAAATACAAATACACTGCAGTCTGAAGGATAAGTGAAGTTGTTGGGGGGTTTTGTTTGTTTGTTTTGTGTTGGTTTGTTTTTTGTTTTTAACATTACAGGTCAAGGCTAGATATTCAAAAGTATTAAATATATGAATGGCAAATTTCTATATCTATATGTGCAAAAAAAAGCAAAAAATAAATTTAAGTCTATTCTAGGCTTATATTGGTGATAATGAGCTAAAAAGGACTCAAAGAATCTGACTCCCTGGGGACTTTTCTATTTCTAGTGTAGAGAATGTTTGTGTGTTTTACACAAGACATCTATATTAAAATGTAGGGTTCACATGAGCCAATAAGCAGGTCAAAGTTTAAGTGCTTTCCCAGAATCCTGAAATCGACACTCCCCTTCACCCTAGTCAAAGCTTAGGAGACAGCATGAGAGGAGGTCTGCTTCCTTGCCAGTACCTTCCATGGCCTCTCCTTCTTAAGGTAATTAGTGGTCAGTGTGAGGTGAGAACTTCTCCCTAGGCATAGAAAAACTACATATCTAATCACACTGAGGCACCTGCACACTGGAACTCCTCACATCCTTAGCCTGACCTCTGCCCAATAAATGCCTACTGCAGTGGCATATATAATACATATCTTATACTTAGAACCCTGGGGTGGCAGCTTTACTCGTATACAGATTCCTTCCAAAACTCAGCAAAGTCATGACCCCTCCTTTCCCTAAGATCGGCTCACTCTCATAACCATGCAGTTCTCCTACACTGTCCAACCCTGGAAAGCTGACATGTCCTTAACCACATGTTTGCTTTTGAGCCATCTAGTTCCACTGCTGTTTCCTTGGTGTTCCAAGTCCCACCACCCACCATTCTCTCTCTTTGCTTGATTTGCAACGTTTAAATATAATAAATAATAATAAATGCTTTCCCAATTGCTTTTTTAAAAATATTGCAATAATTAGTTCAAAAAGACAATGGAGTTGGGTGCTGGTGGCCCATTTCTGTAATTAAAAGTACTCAGGAGGTTGAGCTGAGGATCACAGTTCAGAGCCATCCCAGGCAGAAAAGCCCATGAGACTCTTATCTCCAGTTAACTACCAAAGGGTCAGAAGTGAAGCTGTGGCTCAAGTAGTATAGCAAAAAAGAAGCTCAGGGACAGCACCCAGGCCCTGAGTTCATGCCCCAGGATAAGACTTATTCCCCTCAAACCCCCCGCCCAAGAAAAAGAGAAAGAGGAAAAGGAAGAAGAGAAGGGGAAAGAAGAGTAGGAGGGGAAAAGGTAGGAGGGGGAGGGGAGGAGGAGGAGGAGAGGAAGGAGAAGGAGGAGGAGAGGAAGGAGGAGGAAGAGGAGGAGGAGGAGGAGGAAGAGGTGGTGGAGGAGGAAGAGGTGGAAGACAATGACAATGACAGTGGAGGAACAGAGAATCTAATCAGCCCCTCTCTGTATCTTATAGGAATTCAGTTTTTTAAAATAGGAATTTATATTATACATAGAAAAAGACTTATTGGGTTCTAAATGTAATGAATGAAATACTTTACTAAACTGAGTATTTTACTGTTTTTTTCATCTCAAACACTACATACCATGTGGCAAGACAAATTTCATCAAATTCTCTGAATTTATATGTAAAATCATACGAATTCAGAGATGGCTCTCAAGGTTTTTTATAGTTGTATAGTGTTCACAGTGCACAAGATAAATTTTTAGGTTCACAAATCATATCGTGTCAATGTTACAAAAATGCAACAGAGCTTTGTGAAAATGCCTTATAAAGCATTTTTAAATAAAGTACTTTATATAACTTAGGAAATAGAGTCTTTTCTCTTAATCTTTCTTTTTCTAAGAGTTTTTTTTTAGTTTTGGAAATTGATTTTTTAGTATTGGAAATTGAATGCAGAGACTCATAGTGCTTTATCCATTGAGCCATAACCCCAGCTCTTTTGATTGTGTTTTATGAAATAAGGTCTTACTTACAAGCTGGTCTTGATTCTGCCTTTCACACTAAGTACCTAGAATTACAGTTATGCAACATCATGACCAGCCCTAACCTTTCTCTTCTTTTCTAGTTTATTCTTTTGTAAATAAATATTTTCTCTCCAAATATATCTCTGCTAGCAACTAACATTTTCCTGACTTATTTCTTAATATTTAAATCCAGGTACTTTGTAAGTTATTATTATTAAAATTTACTATGACCTGTATCATAAAAATTATTACATCTATGAAACCTGTTAAGTTATACTCACAAATGTTTAATTTGAAATAACTGCTGTTTAATTTCAATTGTTTCCTTTATGATATAAACAGGGACAAAAATATTAATAATAAAATATTTCTCCATCTGAACCATTTATCATGTGACATTATCATAAAAATAATCTGAACCAGAGGTATTAAGTCTGGGTATCTAGCATTACTAAAAAATTATCATAAACCTTTTTATTGTGATCTGTCTGGTTTTCATTATTTTAGATTCAACAAGTGCTTAAAACAATGTCTCTAAATTGAACTTAAAAGGAAAGGGCATACTCAGCTCATGACTTTGAAAAGTATACCCTTGCTTATACTTATTTGTTATTCAAAAACACAAATCACTTTGGCCTTAAGAACAAGTCATATCACGTGACATTATAACCACCCACAGAATTGGTTTTTACAAATAATAAGTCACATACAAAAGTGTCCTGTTCATTCCAGCAAAATGTTGGGTAACACTAGTTTCAATAATCCTATGATCATTAATTAGTTCAGTTTTAATTGCCTTCCATAAGGGGAGAGCTAGTGATTACACATGTACTAATGCTGTTTAATCAGTCATCCATGAAAAGTATCCACTGAAATACTAATATCTCAAAAAAGCAGTGCCTAGCCATAAATTCCTGGTTTATAGTTATGCGGAACTCATTGTTTCAATTACTTTAATCAAAGCAGAGTTAAATCTCAGGAGTTTAAACTTTCAATAATATTTTGATCAACTGACTATTCAAGGAAGAATTGTGTAGTTTCCTAAGTCAAATTCTAAATAAACTAAGAAAACAGTATGTGCCAGGTGCCCCTGGCTCATACCTGTAATCCTAGCTACTCAAGCGGCTGACACCTGAGGATCAAGGTTCAAAGCCAACCTGAGCAGACAAATCCAAGAAACTCTTATATCTAACTAACTAGCAAAAAGCCAGGAGTGGAGTTGTGACTCAAGGGATAGAGAACCAGTCTTGAGTAAAACAACTAAGCAAGGGTACAAAGTCCTGAGGTTCAAGCCCAAGGAAAGGGAAGGGGAAATAAAGGAAGAGGAAGGGGAAGGGGAAAGGAAAAAGAAAGGAAAGGCAAAAAGAGAACAATAAAGGAAGAAAAAGGGAAGGGGAAGGAAGGAAGGAAGAAAGAGGAGAAGGGAAAGGGAGGGGAGGGGAAGAGGAGAGGAGAAGGGAGAAAAGAGAAATCACTACGTAGACTAAAAATGAACAGTTCTACAAAGCTTCTCCTTGTAACAACACGTGACTAGTCATATGCATCAGCCCTCTTTTGAATATGTAGCCAGAAATACTTCAACTCAATTTGATTTTCATGTTTAAAACATATTCTCAACAAATTACTTGACTGCATTATAGAATCAATATGTAAAGAACATGTGAAGAGTTTTTTAACAGTTAACCAGGCACACATTACAAGTGGTCAAAATTATATTTTCCTTCCTCTCCTTCTGACCAGTTGATTTCAAAGGGAGATGTTATCATGGGCCCAAAGAAGAGAAAAACCTAATGCAGTGGTAAAAAGCTGAGCTACTCCATGTAGGAAGATTCAGGAAGCCAGAAAAAGCATGAGTAACTTTTATGTATTGTACTTTGAAGCCCTAAAGGAAATACTCCAGAGATGAGAAACAACATTTTGATGGATTAGTTTAGCCTTTAGGTAAACTAATCTAGACAGAATTAGAATGTCTGTGAGACTGCTTAATGATATTAGGAAAACAAGGGGAAAATAAGTGAAAACATTGAGCTGTAATGTTACATAGCAAGCTTTGTGGAAAAGCAAGATGAATGGAATGCAAAAGCAGCTATCTGAAGAAATAATACAATAATTTCAAATATTGATCTTTATCTTGGCATAGTCTAAATAAAACTTATGACAGCTAAGCTTACTTACCTATAACTGGAGATAAACCCTTAAAAGTATCATTGTAAATGTAAACTCACTTAAATGATTTCTTTCATATATTCATCTCCTTATGACATTATGCATACTCATAATTACAAATCAAAATATCCTTGAAAAGAAAAAGAGAACTTCGGGTAACAGTAATTTTATAAGGCTACCTTTTTTTCTTCTTCTTTTCTTTCCTCTTCAGCTTCTCTAAATCTTTCTTAGCTAAGTCAATAATCTCAATAGTTTCTTTGTCTGAAGACAGAATAGTTGGAGAGAAAGGCGTGGAGCCACTGAAATAGGGTGATCTTGAAGTGGCTCTTGTCAAATTCTTTCGAAGGTTCTCATTCACAGCTTCACTTTCTAGCAACTTTGCCCTAAAGAATAAAAATATATGTTAAGTAGAGATCATTTTTATGACAGGATAACATATATAACATAAGTTTACTATCCTATTCATTTCTAAATGTACAGGTTTCTAACATTAACCATGTTGATACAATTGTACAACCATCCACCCCCATGGCCAGAATGTTTTCATTGTCCCAAACTGAAACTCTGTATCCATTAACTAATTTACCCTTTTCCCCTCTCATCCTTCCTTTTTTTGTTTGTTTTTGTTGGACTTTTGTTTGTCTGTTTAGGTGCCAGTCCTGGGGCTAGAATTCAGGACTTGGCCACTGTCCCTGAGATATTCTGCTCTACCATTTGAGTCATAACTCCACTTCCAGCTTTGTGGTGTAAACGGGAGATAAAAAGTCTCATGTGAGCTGGTTTCAAACTAAGATGCTCAGATCTCAGCCTCCTGAGTAGCTAGGATTACAGGCCTGAGACACTGGCACCTGGCCACTATCATATCTTCTGCATCTTTTTGTTTCTTTTCTTCCATTTTTTTTAATGTGGGTACTAGGACTAGAACTCAGGGTCACCTGCTCTTGCTTAGCTTTCCACTCAAAGTTGGCAATCTATCACTTGAGCCAGCTCTACTTTCAGCTTTTTGCTGTCTAACTAGAGATTAGAGTCTCACAGACTTGTCTGGCTGGCTGCCTTGGAACTGTAATCCACAGATCTTAGCCTCCGGATTAGCTATGAGTACATAGGTGAGCTACTGGCACCCAACTACCCTCTTTCTGTTTCTATGAACATCACTGTTCTAGGAATAGGGAACATTATATAAATAGGTTGTTTTGTGTACTAAAAGCTTGTGTATGTGTGTATGTGCACACACACATGCTAATAGTGGTACCTAAACTCAGGCCTGGACATTATCCTTAGTTTTTGCACTCAAGGATGGTGCTCTACTACTTCCATCATTGTTCCACTTTCAGCTCTAAAAGGTGTGTGCCTGTGCGCGCACGCTTGCGTGCGTGCGTGTGTGTGTGTGTGTGTGTGTGTGTGTGCATGCGTGCATGAGAGAGAGAGAGAGAGAGAGAGCTTATCCTAGTCATGGGGTTTGAATTCAGGGTCTGGGCATGGTCCCTGAGTTTTTTTGGTTTTTTGTTGGTTGGTTTTGTTTTGTTTTGCTCAGAGCTAGTGCATTACCATTGGAGCCACAGCTCCAATTCCGGCTTTTTCTGGGTGTGATTAATTTGAGATAAGAGTCTCACAGACTTTCCTGCCTGGGCTGGTTTCAAAGTGCAATCCTCAGATCTCAGCCTCTTGAGTAGCTAGATTACAGGTATGAGCCATAAGCACCCAACTTCCAAAAGCTTTTTCTTTTTTCGTACTGATACCTGAAGCATGAATTCAGGGCCTGGGTAGTGTCCCTGAGCTGTTATGTTCAAAAGTGTTTTATGACTTGAGCCAAGGCTCCACTTTAGACTTTTTTGTAGTTTATTGGAGATAAGAATCTCACAGACTTTCCTGCCCAAGCTGGCTTCTAAGCTCAATCGTCAAGTCTCAGCCTCCTTTGTATTTTAGATTTCAAGCATGAGCCATTGACACCAGGCCTAAAAGCTCTTTTAAATGCATTCCAACTTTGTTTCAAAGGTAAGAATTTTCATAAATATGTTCACAAACTTTAAGATTTAGAACATTTTAAAATATTCTGATTGAATAGTTATAAATCTGAAATCATATTCTTAAGTGATGAAGAAAACCCAGAATCTTCAATGCCAATGGTAATGAGATTACTTCAGTTCTAACCAGTGGCAAGCAGCCATCCATGGTTTGTAAGCCCATTGTTTAAACTTAAAATACAAAAGCAGCATGGTGCCCTCAGTTTCCAGTTACTTATTCATTTCATGATAATAGCATTTTTGAAACTCTGCAGGCAATCCTTCATCAAAATTGCCCCTAACTGACAGACATCTGGCTCCTAAACATGGCATGGGAAATACGAGATCTCCAAGGAAACTTGAGTTTGGTCATTGAAAGCATTCTTTTGTTTCCTCATGTAGACCTAATCATGACAAGACAGTAAGGTATGTATTGTCAACAATATGTGAAAACACAGAACAATAAGGTATTAAAAGTCTAGACTTGACAATAAAAGGAATACTGAAAACTTCTATTTGATTTAAACCATTAAGAACACAATGGTCCATTTCAAATGGAATCAATTGCCAAGGTTCATTTGGTATGTGGGTGAGTGAGACAAGGCTCTTAGGAGAGACAACTATGGATCTCTGTCCTAATACTGTACTACTTGTGCTTCTTCCATGTATTCAAATATCTCAGAGGAAAATGCTAGGTTCTTTGCAACGCTGCATAGACAAGCTCTGTGTTTTTCAATGTCTACCAAAACTATCCCTAACATTGGAAACCAACTAGAGACAGAGTATGAATAATTCAGTGAATATACATAAATGTATACATATATACATAAATCAGTAAATATGTATGTGTGTATATATATAATACGCATCAGTGTGTGTATGTATGTGTGTATGAACAACAATTGCACTATTTTTACATTATTGAATAGGTCTGGGAGTGTTGCTTAGGGGCCAAACGCATTCTTAAGCCTGTGCAAGATCCTGGGTTCAATCCATAGCACCAAACATAAAATAAATAAACAGTTAAATAACTGTGTATGGAATTCTGGGTTTATTAAATGGCTTCAAACTTGTTTTAAAGAAAATTGATGAAAATAAATAAATAAATAAATCTAAATATAATACTCCTTTGGGGGAAGAAAGGATAGTCCCAGAGTTTGAACTCACGACCTCATAGTTAGTAGGCAAGTACACTATCACTTGAGCCACTCTCCCATCCCTATTTTGCTTTAGTTATTTTCTGATTGAGTGTTGAGGTTTTGCAGGGATTGGCCTTGGATACTTATCTTCCTACCTCTCTTCCTGCCTATCACTTCTATGTAACTGGGATTACAGGTGCATGCAATCATACACCAACCTATGAATATACTATCATCATTTTTTTTAATCCAGAAAGCAACCTAAGTATAAAAACTTAGGTTAACTATAAAAACCCAAAGTCAAGATTCATCATAACCAAAAACGGCCAACAAAATAATATGCTTTTCTAAATTTCCAGTATAGCACAACACTTAGATACACAATAAGAATGCTATAAACAAATAAAACTAAAATAAATAGCTAAAATAACGGTCAGCATTTTGTTGTTTTTGTTGTTATTCTGGTCCTAGAATTCAAACTAAGGGCCTGTGCACTATCTCTTAGCTTTTTCACTCAAGAGTGATGCTCCATCAGTTGAGCATAGATCACTTCTGGCTTTTTTCTGGTTAACGAGATAAGAATCTCATACTATGGAAGAAAGAAAGCCTCTTCAATAAATGGTACTGGCAAAATTGGTTAACTACTTGTAGAAAACTAAAACTAGATCCTTATACATCACCCTGCACCAGAATCAACTCCAAATGGATCAAAGACCTCAAAGTCAAAGCGGACACTCTGAAAACATTACAGGAAGGAACAGGAGAAACCCTAGGGCTCCTTGGTACAGGCCAAATTTTCTTAATAGAGACCCAGAAGCACAACAAATCAAAGAAAGGTTGGACAAATGGGAGTGCATGAAACTGCAGAACTTCTGTATGGCAAAGGACATAGCTAGCAAGATCAATAGAAAGCCCACGGATTAGGAGAAGATCTTCACTACCCTTACAATGGACAAGGGTCTCATATCTAAAATACACTTAGAACTCAAAAAATTAAATCTCCCAACAACAAATCTTCAAAGAAACAACTGCCCGAATAATAAGTGGGCTAAAGACTTAAAGAGAAACTTCTCTGAAGA